ATATATGTGTACGATACAACTCTGAGTGGTGATTAGTCAACGGGAAATATGTTCGGATTAATAGCATATGTTCTTTTCTTCAATACTTGATAATATCACACCTTCAATGTTTAACATCTTGAAAAGATATTCCCAGAAACGTTGCTTTGTCTATCCGTCTTCTTATTATATTCGTTTATGTCGAATGTCCGGATGTCTCGAATTCGATCAGATCAGAAGGTTCGACTGTCGTTCATTGAAGACCATTACAATTACATCACAGTAATGACTATTCGATATGTTGGAAGTCTATTTCATTCTGTAACTTGTACCAGGTCTTCATATGTCTCTCCCCGATTATGTTTCTAGGTTAGTCAGCACCATACCCGTGCTCGTGGGTTTCACCAAAGTGTCGAACGTCTGAGACCTGCATCACTTCGGGCTTTCCTCCTACATCAACCCAACTGGCGTTAAACCCAACTCACTCACTCACCCATTTGTTTCTGGTTTTAACTCAGTTAAGATAATCACAATGTCAGTCTCCCAGTCGTGTTTGAGAACATGTTTTAGAGGGAAAAGTCCACGGGTTGCCCCGTTTGTATCTCAGTTAGAAATCCACTTAACGCCACTGAATTGACTCTCTCGCTGTGAAACCTGACTCGGATACTTATGTATGTGAAATAATACATTGGCACTTCTCTCCCTGAACGCAGAGCCTGGCGTGTGTCGGATGTGGACAGCAACACTCATCCCGTCGAGCAATCGGTTATCTCACATCCGTACATTCAGATTGTGGACGTGAAGGTCATAGGTCAAGGACAGCAAAGTTCATCATACTTATATCCCGATGATAGTCATTGCATAGACAATAAATACCCTTTCCTGTAGTTTAACATATTGGTAGGTGTGATCTACAGGAGTGTCACGTGCCCTTCCTTTTAGTGCCCTTTCATCTATACTGCCGGACAAAATGAGCGAGCAAGTAAGCTTTTTCGCCGCTGTCGGCAATATTCCAGCAATATCATTACGGAGGACACAGAAATTGGCTTCACACATTGTACCCATGTGGGGAATCGAACGTGGGTCTTCGGCGTGACGAGCGAACGCTTTAACCACTTGGCTACCCGGACAGAATGAAACAAACAAGAAATGGGTATTGGATGGTGATGTATTTGATGCGGGTATCTCGTTGTGTTTTGGACTTTAGGTTTTCAGTGTTTCGACGACTGTGTTCAGCCCGGTCCCATTTTGATAACGTTTGTAATTGTTTTTGTCGAATCTCGTTTTAAGTGTTTACTTTCTTTTGCCCCAGAGTGTATATGAGACTTTGTGAGAGAAATGAATAAGCAACTTTAGCATCAGCCTTTATGAAAGTAGGGATTATATCGAACTTCAAATAGTAATTTGAATCTGGAGGTATACGCATGTGAACCGTCGACATTGTGGTCCACGTGACGAGTGAGGGACGGAGTGAGTGAGAATGTGAATGATGTGGTTTTATTGCCGATTTTAGCAATATTCGAGCAATATCACAAAGGGGACACCAGAAATAAGCTTCACACATTGTACCCATCTGGGGATTAGAACGCGAGCCTTCGGCGTGATGCACGAAAGCTTTAACCATTTGGCCTCCCCACAACCAACCACGTGATGAATTGTGAAAAGAAAATGCACGTGCTGAGATGGTACCAATGTAACGTCAGAAAAGAACTGTCCATTATCCAGGACATAACTATTATTATTAAATATAAAAGTAACCTTGATAGTGTACTTGTTTTTCATTTTGTGATTTTGAGAAGCGCCTAACTTAAAAGTCGGCTCTATTCCTTTTTTGAAAATGAAAGAGATTCTGTGTATGTTCCGTGTGCGACAATTTTACCCCATCACACATTGATACGGCTACCCTGGACTAGGTTACCTCGAGGTTTTTGTGTGCACAGTTGAAACTTTATTAATCTTTAAAGGCAGATAGTCAATAACATAATTATGATAACTGTATGACATCATCATCATCACCATCATCATCATCGTCATAATCTCGTCACATTATTTATTTATTTGTTTTTTATTTTATTATTATTGTAATATGTTATTATTGTTATTATTATTAATATCATCCTTCTCTTCCTCCTCCTACTACTGCTACTACCACCACTACTACTACTACTACTACTACTGCTACTACTACTACTACTGTAATTCATTTATCGATAACAGTATATATAGTCAAAGTTACACGTTTCTCCTCGAGTATATAAAAACATTGTTTTATAATGTAATATACAAGAGAAACCGACACTGACACTATTCTGCTCGGCTAACCGATATGTCAACAGCATGTTTTGTCCTTACTTCCCCTTCTCACTTGCTATTTTCCCTATTGCACATCGGGCACCTTATCTTTATTGTATCTTAATGCAGCAGTTTCCTCGCTCATTATGCCCTGTAGTTACGCGGAAATAATACACCCCATCACATGTGTACACATTAATAAGTACACCACACAAAATAACAATTTCAAATACGATTCAATATTGTTTTCAATTTTGATAAAATATTGCATATTTGATGGTCCTGATATATATTCCATGTATGGCTCACCGTAGTAGTGGTATGCTAATCTGTTAATCACGGAACTTGACAATAATTACACGCAGGTCGCCATGCTATTCGCCATCCCCCCTGCTGACCTCATCGTCATGGCTTTTATAAGGGATGACGCAGCCGCTCAGTGTGGCGTGCAAAGTAGGTCAGTAGGTCTCGTACATTGTCAACTACTTATATAATAATACGTCGCCATTCTTCCTAAAATGGTTATATAAATGTCATTTATTAAGGTCTTGTGACGTAAACAGTTGATATTCGTTGATCGTGTTAGGAGTAAAATGATGTATTATCGTGCGTAAAACTTTTGATCAGTCAATTTTCGAAATTGTAATATTTTGTCAATGAGTTTCTCTTTAATTGATTTTTTATGGACTTTTAATGCTCGTGTCGATTGCATGACTAAGTTTCGCTAACGGGATCCGCTTAAGTAACACTAAAACATAATCAATTAACAATCAATACACAGAACCTGGGATAAATGGCGTACAGTAGCAAGAGTTGTCTCCCTTGGACCGTTTAATCTTTAACACTCCCACAACAGATACATCGAATATCGCAACACTTATATCAGATTTGACGATATCAACCTTTTATCACGAAAAGTAATAAGATATACTATCATGTCTTAGATCGCAAAGCACGAAATCGGATATAGGTGACACCGTTTACTCTGTTCAATCGACATGACTCATATCTATATACTAACTCGGAGTCATCAAGGGTCGTACCAGGTGTGTTTATAGCTGAGGAAGAAATTGAGTTGTTGTGCGACAGTATCACATACCCCTCAGTTATGGCCGAGCTCATCGTTGACGTAGCTAATAGTCGTCGTTACTCCGGACACCTTGGCAACTCCAGGTAATAATAACCCGTCCCTTCATTTACAGCATATCAAAGAAAGCTCAGCATTAATTTATCCCATTCTCATTTTTTATAACGGATTGGGTAATTTTATAGTTGCTGAAAACGTTGAAATATTGGTGTTGGAATGTATTAGATATCATCAAATGTTGATGAGGTTTGGACGTATGGCATGATCAAAATCGTATGTGGTGCTACAATTAGTGAAAAGAGGCAGAATTTTAGACTGAAAGTCAAGTGAGCTCATGTCGTGGCCTGTTTGTCCGGTGCGTTGTAAACATCTTGTCCTCAGATACCACTGGACCAATGAAGCTGAAGCTTCACATACTCCAAATTGTTCACGAGGTTCGATTGTCACGATATGGATGAAATATTACCGACGTGAAGTTAAATATTAAGTCACTCAATCACTCAAGAGGTTCGAATCCGAATTTCAAGATGGCCGCCAGGGCCGCCATGTCTCAAAGCATACTTACCTCTGGAAACTTCTTCTCCTCTGAATTTGCCAGACTGAGGGAACGGAACTTTGGCAAGTATAGTTCTTGTCATGATGACATCATATTTTGTTCAATTCATTAGATTTTCGCATTTAAACAGAACATATATCAGTGCTGCCTTTGAATTTTTAAATCATTGACTAAATATCCAGGCGAGCTACAGTGCCGTGGTACTATTGCTAGATAAAAAAAAGTATGATTAAGTCCGTGGTCTAAGATTAAGTTTTTTAATGCATATTGTGTGAGTGCTACCGGTAGGACAAGACATGCCTACCATTTTCGTGAACACCTAGGGTCATCACTGATTTTCAGTGATCCAATCATGTAATTTTCACTGCTATTTTACTTCCAATGGAATCAGTTTCGGTGGATAACGGAGACTGGTTATGCTCTGGCATTGACGTTTTATATTTACCATCTTTGTAATCTTTTATCCTCACATTTAAATTTATCTTGTCAAAAGTCCAAACATGGCATTGTTTAAATGAAGTCTAGCTCCCTTTCATATGAGCACATATGTTTTACTAAATGGTTTTAAAATTAGTTTTACTGTATTTATTTTTAATTATAATCCCGTAGACCAAAAACGGTCCTTATCCTAACACGTTCTTTCTATTTTTATTTATTATTTGTATTGTATGGTGAGTTGTTGTTTAATTGTTTGTCTGTTGTTTAACGCCGCACTCACCAACATTCCAGCCCTATTGCTTGTCGTAAGAGGCGACTAACGGGATCAGGTTGTCAGGCTCGCTGACTAAGGTCGATGCATGTCATCGTATCCCAATTGCGTAGATCGATGCTTCTGATGTCAATCCCTGGATTATCTGGTCCAGACTCGATTATTTACAGACCACCGTCATATATGGGTGAACGACAAATGTACGATAACGTGTTTATGTTCAGTTTTAACTGACTCAAGGTCGTTTGAGGCTATGTCCACCAAGAAGGATGTAGCTAGACCTGAGGAGACACAACTACAGCGTAATATAGCAGTGCACAAAGTGTGGATGGCTGTGAGAGAAAGGAGTGTTGACACTGTGGTTCCGTGGTTTTCAGGGACTGTCGGTCTGCAGGGGTGATGAGCAACCAACCGAAACCGAAAACCCAGCACGTGAAGCTGGTGTTGCTAGGCGACCAAGGGGTAGGAAAGTCCAGCCTGGCGCTCCGGTTTGTTCGCGGGGAATTCCACGAGAATAGCGAGGCTACAATTGGGGGTGAGTTGAGGTCAACGTTATTCATCCCTTCTCAAGTCAATGCATCGTCCCGAGGCAAGAATATCCACTAGCTTATATGAGCGAACACACTATTCCTTTTAAAAAGTGGTTCAATGTTACAAACGTTAAATTTGGGATCACACTCTCAGTAAAGTACACATTCTGGTACTTTGTTATTTACACCGTGTAGATTCGGGTTCGAATAGGTCTTCAGCAGCTCATGCTTGCCGTAAAAAGGTGACTGCTTGTCGTAAGAGGCGACTAACTGGATTTGGTGGTCAGGATCGCTGACTTGATTGATGCATGTCATCGTATCCCAATTGCGTAGATCGATGACAAGACATCAATCACTGGATTGTCTGGTCCAAATCCGATTATTCACAGACCGCCGTCATATGAAAGTGTAAACTCAAATATAGCATTTGTTACAGCCTATATCAACGTCTAGTTTTTACAGACTTTGATATAGGCTAGTGGACACTCTTGCCTCGGGAGCATGAAGTCATGCGTAAGTACCTATTCATCTTCATAAGCGACAATGCTTGTCGTAAGTGGTGACTATGCTTGTCGTAAAAGGCAACTATGATTGTCGTAAAAGGCGACTATGCTTGTAGGAAGAGGCGACTAACGGGATCGGGTGGTCACGCTCGCTGACAGGGTTGATGCATGTCATCATATCCCATTTGCTTGGATCGATGCTCATGACATCAATAACTTGATTGTCTGGTCCAGACTCGATTGTTTACAGACCATCGTCATGTAGCTGGAATATTGCTGAGTGCGGCGTTAAACAACAAACAAGCTTATTAACACACAAAAACTGAAGGCAGCAATACGAAATCTGCAACATTGTTCAGCGCAATAATGCACCAGTCCCGGCCATGCTGTTATCAGCCAATCAGGAAACAGTAGTCTGTTAGTGGGTGGCGCCTATTTTTGTCTGTTTATGGATAGGTAAACTGAAATTATTATTATTTTTACATAATTGTCATAATAACATGACATATTTGCCGTTACGTTTAGCCGCGTTCCTGACGCAAACCACGAATGTGGACAACCATTCCATCAAGTTCGACATCTGGGACACCGCGGGGCAGGAGCGCTACCATAGCCTGGCTCCCATGTACTATAGAGGCGCACAGGCCGCAATTGTCGTCTACGATGTCACAAGCGCTGTAAGTCATGGACGTGTACAGCACCTTAACATGTTGAATAATGCACAAAGAGAAATTCTAAACATGCATGACTTCATGATCGTGGAGTGAGTGAGTGAGTTGGGCTTAATACCGCTTTGAACAGTATTCCAGTTATATCACGGCGTTTCAGCTTAATGTGGGAGGAAAGCCCAAAGTGAAGCAGGTCTTAGACGTTTACCACTTTGGTGAAACCCACGAGCACGGGTATGGTGCAGACAAACCTAGAAATATAATTGGGGCAGCCTGGATTGGAACCCACGATGTTTCTGGCGTGTCCAAGGGACGCAACTCTGCACAGCGAATTGCGGCGCCTTAGACGACTAGGACACCCGCGCCCCCCATGATCGTGGAAGTCCAAGTAGAAAGGTTGTTTAGTAATGTGACAATCAAAATACAAACAGGGGCGCAACCAGGCCAGTTTTAAGTGTAAGCAAAACCAAGTTTATGAGGGCGTGAAACCATGTAGGATTTGAATTAATAATTTACTGCGAAGATGTTAAATGAGGTTTACTTTTTTGTTTTAAATTGTGCTTTTTTAGGTGTTTTTTTCTAATGTGTAAGCAATTGCTTTTCTGCTACAATGGTAGTTGTGGTCGCCTCTGACAAGGATGAAGTTTCTTTCAAGGTGTTATCTAGGGGCAATTGCGGATGCCTGAATTTCGAGGGGGGGGGGGGGAGGGGAGGGGAGTATGGTAAGGGTGAGGGAGGTGGATTATGATGTGATATTATTGTGCATATTTGCATGTTAAGTTTTCATGTAACTGTTCGAGGTTTTTAGAGGTTGCTTGTTCTGGTTCCAGAATTCTTATAACCGAGCGTTGTCATGGGTACGAGAGCTTCGACAGCAAGCAAACTCCCAGATAGTCCTGGTTCTGGCGGGAAACAAGGCAGACATGGCAGGCCCAAACAGAGCCGTTCTGACAGAGGTAAGGACAACAGTGCACTGCGTCCAGCTCAGCCGACATGAACAGAACAACAGAGTTTTAGTAACATTGTAATACACCCATCACCCACGTGTAGCTAAGCGGACATGAACAGAAGCATGGCATACACACGGAATATTAATAACAGAACGTTAAAATAACACGAAACACTGGCCAAAATTCTAAGGGATATCAAGAGATCATTGTCGCAGATACGGGACATCCATACACAGAGCTCCAGATTAGCTTTTGGTGTTGTGGGTATTTTACCCATGCATTTTAAAATCATAGGGTATCAGTAATTCTATCTGCGTATTCAAATTTCTGTTACCCACTAGTTTTGACACATGTGGGTATTTAAGTTAAATATTTAAAAACACTATTCATCTAGTCCCTGAAAACTGGTGTCGTGTGGGTTCGAGAGCTTTATAGGACTCAAATATACCACGATACTTCCACAAGAAAGTGTGATGGCAAATGATCATGATGTAACTGTCATCGAGGAGTTTGGCAAGGTTGACGGAATGCCCGTTTATAATTTCAAAATAAGTTGCTGATTTGCTAATCGAATACGCAGGGTCACTTCACAATATTTTGATGATACGCACAAGTTTTATTTTTGTAGCGTATCTGTAATGATCGTTGCGTATTTGATACGCTTGGATTTTATTTTACTGCGTATTTCTGCATTTCTGATGCGTATTTTACGCAGATACGCAGCTTATCTGGAGCTCTGCATACACTCACCATACCACTGATTGAACACTGTTACACGGTGACTCCACATTATTACATCCTTCATCCAGGTGTAATTACTTGCGTCAAGTAGTTTAGTGTAGGGCATTTCATCAATACAAGACGGACGTTGAAAGACATACGCATACACTTCCCTATGTTTTTGTCATAAAGAGTCGGAAAAAGACAAAGTTAAAGAGGTGAGATGAAATTGGGTTTAACGTCGCGTCCAAGATTATTGCACTTATATATGTGTGTGTGTAGCTGCTTGTACTAGTCCGGACTGATGCCGATTTATAGTGCTAGCTCACTGAGATACCATGCCGCAGTTTAACATGAGTACCCCACTCAGACACAGTATACTGACTCCGAGCCGACCAGTCCTTGTTTTAGCCCCTTAATGTCGAGCGCCAGACAGGGTAACAACAAGTACAATGTTTTAACGTCTTTTTGTATGACGCGGCCGGGGATCGAGCCCCGGACCTTCCGCTCTCCGGGCGGACGCTCTACCACAAGACCACGCAGGCGGTCCCAAAGTTAAAGAGCCACAGGGTTACTTCCGTTTTAACATTGACCTACTGAAAAATGTTTTTCCTGACTGAAGATGTTCTTTAGGTTTCAATTGTGTTCCTCATTTCTGAAATTGTCAGCAATCAGGTAATTTAAAATTAAACACCAATATAGCTTAGTGAAACAATAAATCATATTAATTTCTATTTCTTAAGTTATCTGTGTTCTTAACTTATGTACCCGTGAACATCCGGGTTAGACCTGGTCTTCAGCAACCCATGCTTGTCTTAAGGGGCGACTACGCTTGTCGTAAGTGGCGACTAACGGGATCGGGTGGTCAGGCTTGGTTGATGCATGTCTTCGTATCCCAAATGCGTAGATCGATGTTCATGATATCAATCACTGGATTGTCTGGTCCAGACTCGATTATTTACAGACCGCCGTCATATAGCTGGAATATTGCTGAATGCGGTGATAAACAACAAATAAACATCTTAACTTTGTGTTTAATTACCTTCTTTGTAACTTCCTCGTGTGTGTGTTTTAGGACGCAAATGCATACTCGGAAGACAACGGGTTGATATTTGCCGAGACCAGTGCTAAAACTGGAATGGGAGTCAATGACATCTTCATCAAAGTCGGTAGGCCAATCTTAGTGTTCATTTGTGTTCATTTTATGCTTCATCGACAATACAATTGTAAAGGATGTGGGCCCTATTTGGCCCACTGAAAATGTTAAATTTTACAGTTACAGAAATCATCTAAATTTTGGTGTGAACCTTATCAGTCATGTCCACTGATAAGTAGGTTTTTTTCTTTTCTTACACGTGCATATTTTGGTCTTCTTATTTCATCAAGAACATATATGGCTACAATAGGTGCAAATGGTCGAGTAAGTACTTTTTTGACCAAAGAGGAAGTTTTTACCGTATGTTTGAACTAGTTTATCGACATCTCCTGGGACACGGGTGGCCCAGTCATCTGAGGCGCCGCGATTCGCTGTGCAGAGTTGCGTCCCTTTGACACGCCAGAAATCTTTGAATGTTGGTTCGAATCCTGGTTCGCCCCCATTCTGTTCCTGGGTTGGTTACTACCATACCCGTGCTCGTGGGTTTCACCAAAGTGGTAAACGTCTGATACCTGTACCATTTCGGGTTTTACTTCCACATAAAGCTGACACGCCGTGATATAAGTGGAATACTGTTAAAAGCGGCGTTAAAACTCACTCACTCACTCAGTCTTAATTTGAATGAGAACAGGACGATGTTTCCTGTGTGTGTGATGTGTTTTTTGTTTCAACGATTTGGTTATGTTCGAATATTAGAAACCCTGTTCCTGGAAGCATTACAAAATTAGCAATTGTGATAACCATTATATTCCGACAGGTTTGTCGGACAATATGGCGTCCCTTCGGAATTTGTGATACTAAACTCTTATAGAAACACCAGCTGGCTGTACAGTGGGTGGTGTACCAGGGGATGCCATGTCTGAAAGCCGATGTCGTACAGCTGAGTGAGTGAGTTGGGTTTAATGCCGCTTTTAACATTATTCCAGTTATATCACGGCGTGTCTGCTTAATGTGGGAGGGAAGCCCGAAGTGATGTAGGTCTCAGACGTTTACCACTTCGGTGAAACCCACGAGCACGGGTATGGAGCTGACATACCTAGAAACATAATCGGGGCGAACCGGGATTCGAACCCACAATCATAGTTTTCTGGCGTGCCCAAGGGTCGCAACTCTGCACAGTGAATCGCGGCGCCTTAGACGACTGGGGCACCTGTGCCCCCTCGTAAAGCAAGTGCTGACGTCGCATCCCTTACCCCTTACTCACTTTACAGGGTATTGTCTAACCTATGCTAACCGTGACAATACAGCTGTACTTACCGTTCTCTCCTATCTGTTCATCGTTTAATCCCAGTACTTCTATACGTCACGCCAGGGGCCTACGGATCGTCCCGTAAGGAAAGTGCACAGCACACTTCTCCATCTCCTATTGGCTACAAATTATTAAATATTTATAAAATCTTGATACCAATCTCTTCCTTAATCACTGATCTCGAAATACGTATGCTTTGTTTCCCCGGAAGTGTACTTTTAGGATTGCAGATCGAAAAGGCAAACGGGTTTTGTAAAACAAGATGGCGGCCCCTTGAAATCACCACCGATTATTCTTTCCGATCTCGAGGTTCGCAATATGTCCTACAGCTCCCATTGGCAGACCTTTCTTACGGGACAATCCGTAGTCCTTAGTAGTAACACTTAGAAAGTAAACCTGATATGAAACGAGCATGAGGGGTTCAGTAACCACAGCTCTATCAGTATTGCTAAAAGCGTTAAAAAACTAAACTCACTCACTAACGGACAGTTTCCCTTCCATGTTCTTCAGCACAGAAACTGGCCCGCCGACTCGACCAGGGGGACGCGCTGGACGGAAACAGAGATGGAGTCAGGTTAAAAGGGGAGCAAGGCGAAAAGAAGAGAGGTTGTTGCTAGGCAACCAAATAATTGACAGATCTGTAAAAATATACTCGATTGTACCTGGTAAAGGACCTGTGATAATACTTCCACTCAGCAGCTCTGTGTCATATTTAAAGCAGTAACAGTCTTTAAACGCGCGGTAGTGTGTATATAATTGTATCTCCGATGTATGTTATGGTGCAAAGCTTACATTATAGTTGTGTATGGACACACCTTTATGACTGTATCATCATCTTCCCGAGGCAAGAGCGCCCATTAGCCTTTTTATCCGAGTCTTGTTTCCACCCTTGCCACATCAACCCCACTTTCCTGTGCTAAATATGATTGGACTATCGCGCATATCGATAGTCCAATCAGAGAACGTTTCACAAAATCAACATCCACGACAGGTACACCTTCGTATGAAAGTGCTTCACCGCTGCCTGTCTTTGTTGACACGAATATGTCTTTTTCATCTTGTAAAGCCCACAACGATTGCCTATGTTTTTGTGTCAGGGATGAAATCGCGAACGTTTTTGTTATCTAATCGACGAGGTCGTCGCCTATGGTTGTCGCTTTTTTTTGAAGCTATGCGAGACAAGAACGGCGATCTGATTGGATACCGCGTTTTCATTACAAGGGGCTCTTGGTCTACGCGAGGTGGCGCCAGGGTCTAGCCAAGAAAAGTGGCCTTGACTATGGCAAGGGTAGAAACTAGGCTTTGATTTTGGCTAGTCGACATGCTTGCCTCGGGAAGATACTATATTGATGTCCGTTTCATTGAGACTATTAGCAGCTCTTCGAGGATTTGTCAAAAAGATGATTATTATCCTTCCATCATCTGTCAGCATCACACCTAAGTGATGACATCCACGGCTTGCGTCACTCGGACACGACATTATATAATATTACACCATTACGGTGACGTCACGCCATTGTTCTTGCAGTTGATTCAGAGCCAGCAATTCGCTGGTCATTCTGAACGTGCATTTTTAACAAGTAAAGCTAATACTATAGGTCATTATGCACAATTATAAAGAAATTATATCAACCATAGAATGGTTTAATTCGGCGAAATCACTCGAATCTGTTGATTCAGGAAGTAGAATATACGAACAACTTCCGGTATGAACAGATTCGTGATTTCGTCATTGCTGAATATTGTTCAAGCGGCGTTGTGTAACTGTATAGCTATGTTTCGCTCTTATGACGTTCATATAGGCCTACCAGTTCAACAATGCTCACTTCAATCTTACGCGGCTGAATGTCCTGGGTTAACCCCAGCTATTAAGGGGCTATGATCGAAATAACAAAACCCACCAGTCTGGTATGTCCAAGATTTTGTATTTAGTTCAGATATCGTCAACTTTGAAAAGTCATGCAGACATCTCTCCGGCTTCTCCGGCTTCTACCGGCTTCTACCGGCTGTGCAAATATCTGCTTATTAAGAGCCGCGGTTTTTTAAAGAAATATGCCAACCAGATACGTCAAACATCTGAAAGGTAATGGTGTAATTACCGCGCAGGTATCGTCCAACACACATTGAAGCTCTTGTACCGAGGGTCACAAGTACCCCCGCTTCTATGACATAAGTATATTTATTGATTTCTCCTATGTGAAAGTCAGGAAGACGGATGCCCAGTCGCTTGAGACGTATATAGGCCCCTGACTATGCCAGGATCCGCGGGTTCGAAGCCTTAATTCACCCTTATCACGATCCAGGGTCTGTCTTGGCCCTCTGAGAATGTGGGTTTCACTAAAATGATACACGTGACTTCCGCCTTTCCTCCCCCCTTAGGTTGACACGCTGTGATAAAACTTGAATACTGTCCCAAGAGGCGTTAATCACAAGTCACTCACGAACTCTCTTGCCTTAAGAACTGATGGGGCGAATGTCCATCCATAAGTGGCTCATTATAAAGATAATCATGAATGTATCCGACTTGAATATCAATGTGTGTGGTCTGTTGATGATTGTGTACGAGGACATTGACAACACTAGATGATAATAGAACTGTTCTAAGGCATGCTGTACTTATTAATCCTTGTATAAACTTCCTGTGGCAAAGGAAACGACATGTAGGAGTTTTTAATAAAATTCTTGCTTTAGAAAAGAAACTTTGAATTATGTTGATGTGTGATGTGATTTAATACTTGTAGTCATCTACTATTGTCCTGCTTTAATCATTGATTGTATTTGCACTTAAAACAAATAAAAACGTTTACATAGAAATTAATTTCGTTTGTGTCTTGGAGGTTTTGTATGTGAAATAACCCTTATTACGTTAAAACTATATACACTACTTCTCACAACTACCTACCTCCATGTAGCAATATTACTGCGGAAGGTAGTGACAGTACAGTACCACGTTTGGACCTACTTATTCTGCGTCCAACTGCGTTAAGCTGATGTACTCCCGGTTTTTCAGCAAATCGTATCACAGTAAAGGGGTATGTACTTGTGAGCAGTAGGGTAATGGTACGATGCGATGTGCGATGTGCGATGTGCGATGTGAATTGAGGTTGAAGATTATTGCATTTATATACCGAGTTCGTGTGTGCGTGCTTATGTGTGCTCTTGTACTAGTCCGTACAGTAGTCCGGCTTTATAGTGTTAGCCTACTCAGATATGATTTGTTTGTTTGTTGTTTAACGCCGCACTCAGCAATATTCCAGCTATATGACGGCGGTCTGTAAAATATTCGAATCTGGACCAGTCAATCCAGTGATTGTGATCATGAGCATCGATCCACGAAATTGGGATACGATGACAAACATCAACCAAGTCAACGAGCCTGACCACCCGACCCCGTTAGTCGCCTCTTACGACAAGCATAGTCGCCTTTTTTCGACAAGCACGGGTTGCTGAAGACCTATTCTACCCCGGATCTGCACGGGTTACTGAGATATGACGCCGAAGTATAACATGGATACAGGGGGCACGGTTGACCCAGTCGTCTAAGGCGCCGCAATTCGCTGTGCAGAGTTGCGTCCCTTGGGCACGCCAGAAACCTATGATTGTGGGTTCGAATCCCGGTTCGCCCCGATTATGTTTCTAGGTTTGTCAGGACCACACCCGTGCTCGTGGGTTTCACCGAAGTGGTAAACGTCTGAGGCCTGCATCACTTCGGGCTTTCCTCCCACATTAAGCTGACACGCCGCCTTATGACTGGAATACTGTTAAAAGCGGCGTTAAACCAAACTCACTCACTCACTCACTCACTCACTCACTCACTGTGCACTGAAGGACAGAGCAGAAGTCAGTGAAGCTGTCGTCGTTAACATCACGATCTGATTTTACATGAACCTAAAATCTGTAATTAGTAGAATATAATTAATAAAGCTACGTCATGAAACAATGAATTTACATTCTTTAAATTCACAGTTGTTTACAAAATGTAAACTAAAACACTTTGAAAACGCGTATCCGATTTTTTGTAATATCTGACAAAGTGGCTACAAAAATCAGATTAAGTTGATCTGTGTATTTAGTCATGAGATAATCAAACACAACAATATCATTTTGTCACACATCATCATTCTTTGGCAGGCGAGTAAACATTTACTGCTAAATGTCCTTCGAGTTGAAGTTGATTTTGCGTTTTCATGGTGTGTCAGAATATTTAACTATCGCTGAGTGTGACGGATCTTTGAAACTAAAAGCTTCCCTTAAGCATGACATGTGATTTACACATGTCTGTCGGGGAGGGGGTGTCACGTACCTGTCACATTAACGATCGGTTGGAATTACAACCTGCACTTGAATTCAACTGTAAATGATAAAACGCAATTTAAAACAATCTCCCGTGCATGTCGCCCAAACACATCCGTTTATAAAGAGACGGAACACTGTCTGCCCTTTGACAAAATTCACCACTTCCTCTCCCCTCCTTCCGACTCCCCACCCACACACGTGCACAACCCCAGCTCTTCTACTTTCGCTTTACGACGAGAAAGCCCGTTTTCGTTCGGGTACAAGTGTCAATGAGTCAGATATAGAAACACCAAATAACTACAATCACAAGTGAAAAAAAAATCACATAAATCATTGGCTACTAAATTGAGCTTGGCGACAGTGACATCGCTGATTCGTTGATTTGAAGGCAATACAATCCCACTGGGTGGGGGTGTTATATATCACGTGTCAATCACGTGACTTGCGCATTTCTCAGAAAGAGATAATATTAGGAAACCAAGTTCGAACGGTAGAGCGTTTTTATGACGCGGGAAAACGTCTATGGTTAACACTTTCTATATCGTCATGAATTAAGACGTAGATTATACACCATGTTAACCTGGCCGAGGAACAAGACACCTCTCATCCAACAACCAGCCAGTACCACAGACGACAAGGTAGGCCCAGTATTTAATTACAGTACATGCAAAGTTACAATTTTGGGCTCATATACCTATAAGACCACAGCGCAATAGTCTAATTTCTTTCTATGTATAGATTCAAAGAGAAAAGGGTCAGTCACTGTTCTGTTTTACACGGCTGGGATATAGGTGTTCTAAAGACAGCGGCATACAAACTCACCCACTTGATATTTAGTCTGGCATGTCCATATAGCAGATTTTAGGTTTATGTGTGGGTTTTACACTCATAATATGACAATGAAACGAGAAAGTCGGTCCACCTTCAGTTTCCATCTTGGTTGTTGTATATACCGCTATTAGACAAACACTTACGTCATGCATTACGCACTCTCACGGGATGATAAACAGTTATGGATTTCACTCAAGGTCAACAGTTATCTTACAACAACGTGCTATAGTGGATGCTATTTCGATGTAATTTTATTGTACGAGTCTGTTTATATCGTATTTTTCTGAAATTATGAATGTTGTTGTTTTACACCTCAGGATATGGAAACCAGCATAATTGAATTGTTAAATATTTCCTTCTGTCGGCGTGATATCTTTGGACAGTTTCACATTCCGATGGAAAGCAGGGTTTGACAGCATAGGCATTGACAGAGGATTACAGAGGATACAACCACATGAGTAAACAACCACATGTGTACACAACCGCCTGTGTACATAACCACAGGAGTGCACAACCGTACGAGTACAAAACCACAGGAGTACACAACCACAGGAGTACACAACCACAGGAGTACAGAACCACAGGAGTGCACAACCACAGGAGAGCACAACCGTAGGAGTACACAACCACAGGGGAACACAACCACAGGAGTACAGAACCACAGGAGTGCACAACCACAGGAGTGCACAACCACAGGAGTACAAAACCACAGGAGTACAGAACCACAGGAGTGCACAACCACAGGAGTGCACAACAGTAGAAGTACAAAACCACATCAGTACACAACCACAGGAGTACACAGCCACGGGAGTGCACAACCGTAGGAGTACAAAACCACAGGAGTACACAACCACAGGAGTACAGAACCACAGGAGTACAGAACCACAGGAGTACAGAACCACAGGAGTGCACAACCACAGGAGTGCACAACCGTAGAAGTACAAAACCACATCAGTACACAACCACAGGAGTACACAGCCACGGGAGTGCACAACCGTAGGAGTACAAAACCACAGGAGTACACAACCACAGGAGTACAAAACCGTAGGAGTACAAAACCACAGGAGTCCACAACCACAGGAGTACACAACCACAGGAGTGCACAACCACAGGAGTACAAAACCACAGGAGTACAGAACCACAGGAGTGCACAACCGTAGAAGTACAAAACCACAGGAGTACACAACCACATGAGTACAAAACCGTAGGAGTACAAAACCACAGGAGTCCACAACCACAGGAGTACACAACCACAGGAGTGCACAACCACAGGAGTACAAAACCACAGGAGTACAGAACCACAGGAGTGCACAACCGTAGGAGTGCACAACCGTAGAAGTACAGAACCACAGGAGTGCACAACCACAGGAGTGCACAACCGTAGAAGTTCAAAACCACATCAGTACACAACCACAGGAGTACACAGCCACGGGAGTGCACAACCGTAGGAGTACACAACCACAGGAGTACAAAACTACAGGGGTACAGAACCACAGGAGTGCACAACCACAGGAGTGCACAACCGTAGAAGTACAAAACCACATCAGTACACAACCATAGGAGTACACAGCCACGGGAGTACAAAACCGTAGGAGTACAAAACCACAGGAGTCCACAACCACAGGAGTACACAACCACAGGAGTGCACAACCACAGGAGTGCACAACCGTATGAGTGCACAACCGTAGGAGTACAAAACCACAGGAGTACACAACCACAGGAGTACAGAACCACAGGAGTACAGAACCACAGGAGTGCACAACCGTAGAAGTACAAAACCACATCAGTACACAACCACAGGAGTACACAGCCACGGGAGTGCACAACCGTAGGAGTACAAAACCACAGGAGTACACAACCACAGGAGTACAAAACTACAGGAGTACAGAACCACAGGAGTGCACAACCACAGGAGTGCACAACCGTAGGAGTACAAAACCACAGGGGTACACAACCACAGGAGTGCACAACTACATGAGTACACAACCACAGGAGTACACAACCACAGGAGTGCACAACCATATCAGTACACAACCGTAGGAGTACAAAACCACAGGAGTACACAACCACATGAGTACACAACCACAGGAGTGCACAACCACAGAAGTGCACAACCATATGAGTACACAACCACAGGAGTACACAACCACATGTGTACACAACCGCAGGAGTACACAACCGCCTGTGTACACAACAACAGGAGTACACAACCGCCTGTGTACACAACCACATGTGTACACAACCGCCTGTGTACACAACCATATGAGTACACAACCACAGGAGTACACAACCAAATGTGTACACAACCGCCTGTGTACACAACCATATGAGTACACAACCACAGGAGTACACAACCGCCTGTGTACACAACCACATGTGTACACAACCGCCTGTGTACACAACCATAGGAGTACACAACCACAGGAGTACACAACCGCCTGTGTACACAACCACAGGAGTACACAACCGCCTGTGTACACAACCACATGTGTACACAAGAGCCTGTGTACACAACCATATGAGTACACAACCACAGGAGTACAAAACCGTAGGAGTACAAAACCACAGGAGTACACAACCATATGAGTACACAACCACAGAAGTGGACAACCGTAGGAGTACAAAACCACAGGAGTACACAACAACAGGAGTACGCAACCACATGTGTACACAACCGCCTGTGTACATAACCACATGTGTACACAACCACATGAGTAGACAACAACATGAGTACACAACCACAGGAGGGCACAATCGTAGGAGGGCACAACCACAGGAGGGCACAACCATATGAGTGCACAACCACAGGAGTACACAACCGCCTGTGTACACAACCACATGTGCACAGAACCACATGAGTACACAACAACATGAGTACACAAGCACAGGATTACATACACGTACAGAATTAGAGAATCACAGGCAAATAATTACAAAACCTCCCTCACAGTATTACACTACAACAAACACAATGTTACACCACCATATACACAATATTACACTACCACATAAACAATATCACACTACCACATACACAGTATTGTACCACATACAAAGTATTACACCACCACATACACAGTATTACACAACCACATACACAGTATTACACAACCACATACACAGTATTACACAACCACATACACAGAATTACACTACCACATACACAGTATTACAGAACCACATACACAGTATTACACCACCACATACACAGTATTACAGAACCACATACACAGAATTACACTACCACATACACAGTATTTCACCACCACATACACAGAATTACACTACCACATACACAGTATTACACCACCACATACACAGTATTACACCACCACATACACAGTATTACAGAACCACATACACAGAACTACACTACCACATACACAGTATTACATCACCACATACACAGAATTACACTACCACATACACAGTATTTCACCACCACATACACACTATTACACCACCACATACACAGTATTACACTACCACATACACAGTATTACACCACCACATACACAGTATTACAGAACCACATACACAGTATTACACAACCACATACACAGAATTACACTACCACATACACAGTATTACACCACCACATACACAGTATTACAGAACCACATACACAGTATTACACAACCACATACACAGAATTACACTACCACATACACAGTATTACACCACCACATACACAGTATTACACTACCACATACACAGTATTACACCACCACATACACAGTATTACACCACCACATACACAGTATTTCACTACCACATTAACAGTATTACACAACCACATACATAGTATTTCACTACCAAATACACAGTATTATACCACAACATACACAGTATTACAAGGGGCGGTCGGGTAGCCTGGTGGTTAAAGCGTTCGCTCGTCACGCTATAGACCCGGGTTCGATTCCCGACATGGGTACAATGTGTGAAGCCCATTTCTGGTGTCTCCCGCCGTGTTATTGCTGGAATATTGCTAAAAGCGGCGTTAAACCATACTCAGTCACTCACTCACAGTATTACACCACCACATATATAATATTGCACCACATACACAGTATTACACCACCACATACACACTATTACACCACCACATACACAGTGTAACACTACCACATACACAGTATTTCACTACCACATACACAGTATTACACCACCACATACACAGTATTACACCACCACATACACAGTATTACACCACCACATACACACTATTACACCACCACATACACACTATTACACCATATTTACGGTATTACACAACCACATGCACGCTATTACACCATATACACAGTATTACACAACCACATGCACGCTATTACACAACCACATTCACAGTATTACACCATATACACGGTATTACACCACCACATACACAGTATTACATCACCACATACACACTATTACACCACCACATACACAGTATTACACCACCACATACACACTATTACACCACCACATACACAGTATTACACCACCACATACACACTATTACACCACCACATACACAGTGTTACACTACCACATACACAGTATTTCACTACCACATACGCAGTATTACACTACCACATACACAGTATTTCACTACCACATACACAGTATTACACCACCACATACACAGTATTAAACCACCACATACACACTATAACACCACCACATACACAGTATTACACTACATCATGCATTGTATTACACCGCCAGATATATAATATTGAACCACATACACAGTATTACACAACCACATACACAGTATTTCACTACTACATACACAGTATTACACAAACACATACACAGTATTGCACCACCACATACACAGTATTACACAACCACATACACAGTATTACACAACCACATACACAGTAGTACAGAACCACATACATAGTATTTCACTACCACATACACAGTATTACACAAACCAAATACACAGTATTGCACCACCACATACACAGTATTACACAACCACATACACAGTATTACACAACCACATACACAGTATTACACAACCACATACATAGTATTTCACTACCACATACACAGTATTACACCACAACATACTTTGTATTACACCACCACATATATAATATTGCACCACATACACAGTATTACACAACCACATACACAGTATTATACAACCCCATATAACTGATAACACACCATAAACATGATTACACATTCCGATACAAATACACAGCCAGACAGTACCCTTGCACATTCGTGTAGGATGACATTTCTTGCACTGTATTTGTTTAATACCTGTTTTACCCACCTGAACGACAAAACGTTGGTGTTAGATACGAAGGCTAGATTCCCTCTTTCTTTTCTTTCAATAATGACAAACGAAACTGACCTTGCAATTTGTTGAAGATGTTTGTCAAAGGAAACTGTAAAGACTCTTATCAACGCAACATTTTCTTCAGACTATTTAAAGAGTGATTTGGTGTTGCACACTGTAGTCAGCCATATTGCACCCACTCCACAACGGCCAGTAAATACTCGAGTCTGAACCAGACAAGCCAATGCTTGAGAACGTGACCGATCCACGCCGTTGGGACATGATGACACACTCAGCTGGATCACATCTTTGTGTGCCCTTAATTCTTAGACTATTTGGCATTGATCGCGCACGTCAGTTTAGCGAAAATACGTCAGTGACGAATCTGTACAACTATTTAAATCTCAACATTTCTTGGGAATGTTTTTGTCCCTTAAGCCCCCTTTACACAGGGCTGCGACCTTTGTGCAACCTTTGAGCGATCAAAAACTGGCCAGGACGCTCAATGGTCGCCTAAACCCAGAAAACCATGTTTCTATGTAACTGCTCCAGCAGTTGTTCAGCAGTAACTGCTCGAGTTGTTCAGCGTCTGCAACCACAATGAAACACTGCAGGTACAAGCCCTCCATGTATAGGCAGGCTGAGGAGGCACTACAGGTAGCTCAAAGGAGGCAGAAAAGAGGCAGAAGCCTTGCCATGGTGTCTCAAGGGTTGCCGTGGTCGCCGAATGGAGGCACGGCGGTCGCTACAGTCATCGTTCAGTGCACGCTGTTGGTCGCCCAAATGAGGCACATGGGAGGCAGAAGCATCGCCCAGATTAACGGAATACATTTGCAGCAGAACGCATCTTCTACCTGGCGACCATTGGGCGACCACTGTGCCTTCATTCTGAAACAACGGCAATGCTTGTGCCTCCTTTGAGCCACCTTTGAGCAACCAATCTCCTTGGCGACCTTTGTTCGACTGTTTTGAACATGTTCAATAATTCACGGCGACCATAGCGTCCATCGCGATGTCTGAACCTCCCGTGTACCACATTGGAACGACCTAGGCAACCATTCTGCCTACGCTGAGCCTCCAACGACGACCTGACCTGTGTGGCCCTTCAATACTTGTAGGGTGTACTACACAAGCTCATCATACATAACAAGTTCATGTTAGGCTGGTCGCGTTAAACATGTGTACGTTATGCATACTATGTTATGTAAGTAAATATCAACGAAAGAATGTGTCAGTTTTGAATTACGGGTAACTGTTGAACAAGTTCAATCTCGTTTCATCACCCGAGTTACCAGTGATCGCCTTAAAAACAGGATATAGTTCCATCCGAATGACCATATGTGTTTACATACACGTTTCGGTATGTTTCTGCCTTAACGCCGCTCTTGCTGAAAACTTTGTCTTGATAAGCAATCTGTCTTTAAAAGGATGGGGCCTTTTGTATATGGTAATATACATCTTCCCTAGGCAAGAGAGCTAAAGGACTTTAAAAGACCACTTCCACCCTTGCCGAACTTGGCTGGAATTCCTGGGGTCGATCGTAGCGCCACCAGTGGTTATGACGAGTTATGTCCCTTCTAAGCCTCTCCCGTGGACCAATCAGATTCCATCACTTGTGTTTGTTTAAAACAAAACGGTGGCGCCAGTCAAGACGATCTGATCGATAATCAAGATCTATGTTGTGATAAAACGGGTCTTACATCGCTAAGTGCAGCAAATCACGCGAGCACCTTTATTAAAAACATAAAAATGTTTGGAAAATATTTGTTGACATAGAGTTGGCGGTGCACATGTTTTGCAAATCCTGCAATCGACCGAAATCTGCGCGACAGTTTACGAACCGGATTTCGATTTCGTTGCGAAATCTAACTCCATAATACCAGCCTAGTTCGGCAAGGGTGGAAACTGGACTTTCTGGAGTCAGTTAACTCTCTTGTCTCGGGAAGATGGGTAATATAATATGCCTTTAAAAGGATACGGGCATATTTTGTAGTAATGCATGTCTTTGAAAGGGTGCGGTCTTTTGTGTATGATAATATAGTGAGTCTTTGAAACAACACGGTAATTTTGTGTATGATAATGAAATATGCTTTTGAAAGTGTATAATGTATATGGCCTTGTATATGATGTCTTCTATATGTTTTGAAGGTTGACTATGATAAGTCAAAATGCGGGACGGTGAAGAGACACAACGTATGTGGCCAGGTGATCGCTGCCAAGGTCACTCTAGTTGGGAATCTCAGTACCGGCAAGACGTCGCTGGCCCTCCGGTACTGCCGTGGAGACATAGACAGAGATCCGAAACCAACCGTGGCTGGTATGACTGACACATTTAGTGGCCTGGTGGTGATTAGTGTATGGTAGTACGTGTTATGAGATCCTCTCTCTCCTTAAAACAGCTGATCTAGAACGTCCCTGTATCGCACGCTGCTATTGTTTGTATTCGCCTTCGTCTTTTGCTGCATTTTCCTCATTTTTATATAAGTAAACCACTGCTATCCGCAGACTGCAGGGGCACGGGTGGTCTTACCGTCTAATTCGCTGTGCAGAGTGGCGTCCCTTGATCACGCCAGGAACCTATGATTGTGGGTTCGAATCACGGATCATACCGATCATGTTTCTAGGGCCGTCAGTACCATACACTTGTTCATGGTTTTACCAAAGTGGTGAATGTCTGAGACCTGGATCACTTCGGGCTTTCTCCCAAAGCTGTCACGCCGTTATATGACTGGAATACTCTCACAATCGTCGTTTAACCCAACTCACTCACTCCACAGAACTTCTTTAACACAGCTGTATTTAAAGCAACCCGAACACTTAAGGTTGAAACACGAATCCTGTTGGTTAGTGTGGTCTTGAAACAATTGCAGGGCACATTTGCAGGTGACATTCATTGTTGAACATAACTTGCTGCACCACAGCGACACAGTTGAATTTAAAGCAGCCATAAGACTTAAAGATCGACACACGGATGCTGTTATTTTGATTTGTCTTAAAATCATTGGGGGCACATTTGCAAAGTTTTTACCGTCTTTAATGGGGGCGGTGGGGAAGCCTAGTGGTTAAAGCGTTCGCTCGTCACACCGAAAACCCGGGTTCGATTCCCAAAATGGGTACAAACTGTGAAGCCCATTTCTGGTGCCCCCCGCCGTGATATTGCTGGAATAATGCTAAAAGTGGCGTAACATCATACTCACTCACTCACTTTCTCACCGTCTGTAGTCATTGTTACAGTTGACTGGCTGCACCACAGCGAGACTGTCAACAACCGCCGGGTGAACCTGCAGATCTGGGACACAGCAGGCCAAGAGAAGTTCGAGGCCGTTATGCCAAGCTTTCTCCGCTCCTCTGCCGTCGTACTCCTCTGTTATGACGTCACTGATGTGGTTAGTAGACAAAATGCTGTTCTGTATTATATTGGTTATGTACGTGTATGTATGGCATTATATTTTACCCGTTATGTATGGCCGGAAGAGGTTCGTTTGAGTGAGTGAGCGTGCCAGCTTAATGTGGGAGTAAAGCCCGAAGTGATGCAGGTCTCAGACGTCTTCTGATATAGAAAATGTGCTGGACAAAACCGCAACAGTTGCATCCAAAGTTCTGTGTTTGGTGAGTGAGTGAGTGAGTGAGTGAGTTGGGTTTAACGCCGCTTTTAACAGTATTCCAGTTATATCACGGCGTGTCAGCATAATGTGGGAGGAAAGCCCGAAGTGATGCAGTCTGTGTTTGGTATTAGATGCTCCCACCATTGCTCCCCGGCAAACTAGGGGTCTGGTTGTCTTTGTTATTTATTTGATGTTTAACGCCGAACTCAACAATATTTCAGCTATATGAAGGGGTTCTGTAAATAATCGAGTGTGGAACAGACAATTCAGACTGACATCATGAGCATCGATCTACGTAAATGGGATACGATGACATGCATCAACCAAGTCAGCGAGCCTGTCTACCCGATCCCGTTAGTCGCCTTTTACGAGTAGCATGGGTTGCTGAAGACCAATTCTAACCTGGATCTTCACGGGGAGAAGCATGGGTTGCTGAAGACCTTGTCTACCCCGGATCTTCACGGGGAGAAGCATGGGTTGCTGAATACCTATTCTACCCCGGATCTTCACGGGGACAAGAATGGGTTGCTGAAGACCTATTCTACCCCGGATCTTCACGGGAAGAAGCATGGGTTGCTGAAGATCTTGTCTCTCCCGGATCTTCACGGGGACAAGCATGGGTTGCTGAAGACCTATTCTACCCCGGTTCTTCACGGGGACAAGCATGGGTTGCTGAAGACCTTGTCTACCCCGGATTTTCACGGGTTTTCAGGTGCGACTGAATGGATCGGGTGGTCAGGATCAATGACTTTGTTGAATGCGTGACATCGTACCCTGACGGCTAGGATCGTTGTCCACAATATCAATCACTTAATTGTCTGATCTAGACTGGATTATTTACAGATCGCCGTCATACAGCGGGACTATTGCTAGAACAACAAACACCACACTCAAATAATTATTTCGTGGTCTGGAACGCATCAATGTGAGATTGAAATATCCTGGTTGTTGTTCATAGCGGCTATATCAGTAGATGTATCAAACTTAATATATATAATCTTCTTTCTTCTCAACTCAATAATGATGGTGTCTTTATCAAGAGATCCTTTATGTCGAAGACGAAATGGCTTGAAATGATCAGAGGAGAGGTTCCGGATGCCCCTGTGTTCCTCGTGGCGAATAAAGTGGACAAGTCCGACAGGATTATCTCAAAAGAGGTAGGGGATGTGAGATACAGAAACAATACACAGTAAACTACGTTTATAACGAACTGACGGATATGACGAACCTATTTTTTTGGTCCCGGCCATTTTCTGTATATATGCTGTACGTATGCTTATTACGAACTACGGTTATAACGAACTAAGATTAGTGGCCCCTTTGTATTCGTTATAACCGTAGTTTACTGTACAAACGGACGAAATAGACTTCAACCGAGCAGTTTGAAAGATTAATGGCGTAGATAAATAAACAATCACCAACATATTTGAGGTACATGAGTACAATAACCTTGATGATGACTTCTTACGGCCATTATTGTTTGGCGGTTCGTGGACCCATGGGATTTCTATACATTAACCATGAAATGAAATTATTGAACGATACTCCTTTGTTCTAGTTTTATTTACCTAGTACCGGAAGCGCCACATCTCGTGTCATCACGTTTCTGGGGCGGTCGGGTAGCCTCGTGGTTAAAGCGTTCGCTCGTCACGCCGAAGACCCGGGTTCTATTCCCGACATGGGTACAATGTGTGAAGCCCGTTTCTGGTGTCCCCCGTCGTGATATTGCTGGAATATTGCTAAAAAGCGGCGTAAAAACATACTCACTCACTCACTCACTCATCTCGTTTTCTAAGCAATTAATGTTCCCGGGAGGGCCACCGTGAGTTTTCCTTCTAAATGTCAAACGTGGCGCCATGACGGTCCCGTTTGTCTGCTACTATGGATAACTCCACGTGTTTCTATGGTCCCGAGGATGTCGAGTTATGGAGGTGTTACTGTTTTGGTGTAACATCTCTGCCGATGTCGGCATTTTGGTTGTACGTACTGTACGACGTATCACCACTGCATTCCACGGACCACCCCCTTGTCCCGAGTCACGGGGCTTGCTTATCTGTGACACCGGTCGTTTCTGTATACCATTACTCGGCCACGAGATGAACATATCACTGACACTAAACAGTCTTTGATAACATTATCCCCATACACTAGTATATAGTGTATAACTCAAGTTCTCCCAAAAACATTATTGAAAAGAATCTTATACATTAAACGAGTTATTATTGAATTTAAAATATTTATTTTTATTTTCTAAAAGTCATCCAGCGTATTTAATATAAGTACTAGATCATCGTGAATGTATTGCTACATAGTTTGGGGTCATTGGGCTTTACAGTTAACCCGTCATGAAGTTGTTGCTAATCTACAAATATATATCACCCATGACATCCGGGTTAGAAATGGTCTTCAGCAACCCATGCTTGTCGAAAGAGGCGACTAACGGGATTCGGTGGTCAGACTCGCTGACTTGGTTGATGAATGTCATTGTATCCCAATTGCGTAGATCGATGTTCATGCTGTTGTCAGTCACTGGATTGTCTGGTCTAGACTCGATTATTTTCAGACGCTGTCATATAGCTGGAATATTGCAGAGTTCGGCGTGTATCAACAAACAAACAAACACAGATTGATAGTGTATCCTGATATGTCTACATCAGTCTGGGCACGGGTGGCCCAGTCGTCTTTTGCACCGCAATTCACTGTGGGCACAAAAGAAACCTATGATTGTGGGTTCGAATCCCGCTTCGTCTCAATTTTGTTTCTAGGTTTGTCAGCACCATACCCGTTTCACCAAAGTGGTAAACATCTAAGATCTGCATCACTTCGGGCTTTCCCCACACGTTAAGCTGACACGCCCTGATATAACTGGAATACTGTTCAAGGCGACGTTAAACCCAACTCACTCACTCACTCACTCAAAACAAGTCAGGATACAACGTGTTTCTAGGTGATATTAGAATGTTATACACCCAATAAAAAGGAAAATATTAACAATATTGATAAGTGAGCCATGTTTATTTTGCAATTGATTAACAAGACTAGAACCTTGTTTTCAAACAAAGCCTTTTACGTGATCGCCAAAACACTTTTGAGTGAACGATGTCACGTGAACAAGATAGAGGATCATGAAGTGAAACCGGAATAATTACTCTTGACTTCCCGACTGTCTCCTCAGGCCACGTAAAGGTCACAGTCATAGATGTATGTCACAGCACGATACGTGATAGGCGAGCTGGCGATAAATACTCAATGAAACAGAAGATGAATCCAAACTCTCATAGAAATGAACGTATTAATTGCTACTCGATTATACCAACATACACGAGAAATATAGCGCTTGGAATGGGAAGGTGAGGGGTGGGAAGGGGATGCTAGAGTTGAGAAGGTCGGGGGTGGGGGTGGGACGGAATGCAAGAGATCGGGGTGGGAATTGGATACTGGAGATGTAAAGGGGATGAGAATGGGATGTTTTAGTTGAGGAAGAGATAAGAATAGGAAAAGGGGTTGCTAGAGATGAGAATGAGATGTTAGAGATAGGAATGGGATGCTAGAGATGAGAATGGGAAGATAGAGATGAGACGGTGTTGCTAGAGATGAGAATGGGATGCTAGAGATGAGAATGGGATGTTAGAGATGAGACGGGGTTGCTAGAGATGAGAATGGGATGCTAGAGATGAGAATGGGATGCTAGAGATGAGACGGGGTTGCTAGAGATAAGAATGGGATGCTAGAGATGAGACGGGGTTGCTAGAGATAAGAATGGGATGCTAGAGATGAGACGGGGTTGCTAGAGATAAGAATGGGATGCTAGAGATGAGACGGGGTTGCTAGAGATAAGAATGGGATGCTAGAGATGAGACGGGATTGCTAGAGATGAGAATTGGATGCTAGAGATGAGACGGGATTGCTAGAGATAAGAATGGGATGCTAGAGATGAGACGGGGTTGCTAGAAATAAGAATGGGATGCTAGAGATGAGACGGGGTTGCTAGAGATAAGAATGGGATGCTAGAGATGAGACGGGTTTGCTAGAGATAAGAATGGGATGCTAGAGATGAGACGGGATTGCTAGAGATGAGAATGGGATGCTAGAGATGAGACGGGGTTGCTAGAGATAAGAATGGGATGCTAGAGATGAGACGGGGTTGCTAGAGATGAGAATGGGATGCTAGAGATGAGACGGTGTTGCTAGAGATGAGAATGGGATGCTAGAGATAAGATGAGGGCAGAATGAGATGAGAATGGGATGCTAGAGATGAGAATGGGATACTTCTAGAGATGGGAATGGGATGTTAGAGATGAGAATGGGATACTTCTAGAGATGGGAATGGGATGTTAGAGACGAAAAGAGGGGGGGTGGGATGCTAGAGATGTGAAGGGGGTGACACTTGATACCTAGGACTGTGAAGGGGTACACTAAAAGGGATGCTGGAGATGCGAAGGGGGTGGGAATGGGATGTTATAGATGAGTAGGAGATAAAAATAGGATTAGGTTTTCAGTGGAATTGTGTTTTTTTAAATTTATACTCATGGGTCCGTTAGCGTGAGTACTACCAGTTGTGGCTTGAAATTGGTCTTATCATTTCAGGATGGGGAAGTGTTTGCCCGACAAAACAGGCTGGAGTACGTTGAAACGTCAGCTAAAACAGGACACAATGTTGATGGCCTTTTTTATGAGATTGGTAAGGAGACATGAGTGAGTGAGTGAGTGAATGGTGACACAATGACACAATGTGTTAGCCAGGCTACAGCTGATTGTTCCCTGGTAGTTCCTAAGAGCTCCCATATGTCACACACACACACCTACCACCCGTTCCAAGATTGTAGTGGGTGAGTTACAGTTTAAACGTCACATCGGCAATATTTCCGCCATATCGTGACGTCCAAAATTGCAGCTTGCTCAGACGGGAAGCAATGAGCACGGTGGACCATTTCTGTTCATCACACCATGGAACAAGCCTTGAATGTTTCTAGTTTAACCTGAATTGCTTACGAAAAAATGAGCAATAACAAGCAATATGTTCTTGTACGTGTGTAATGGCTGTTACCACGACAGCTGTGCCATTGTGTGTCTGAGAATTGTGTACATGTTACATTATTTCTCAAGGATACAGAAACAAATTGCAAGTGATTTCATAGTATATGATTGGCTAACCAAGTACTGGTTGTTTTCGTTTTTGTTTCCATAAACACAATCAGGCCCCGCATACTAATGAATTATTGTTTCCTGATTGGCTGATAATAGAGTGGGTGGGGCTTGTGTTGCGCTATTGCGCTGGTCGATATCACACGTTTCGTATCATTGTCTACAGTAATTATAATGTAACTGGTTGGTTGCGAAGGAGCTAGGTACATTTGTCATTAATGTGTGTGATGGTTGCCAAGGAAACATGCACAATTCACAAACGTGTGTGTTGGTTGCCAAGGAAACATGAACAATTCAGTAACGTGTGTTTTGGTTGCCAACGAAACATGTACATTTCATTAATGTGCGCGTTGGTTGCCAAGTATTCATGTAAATGTCATTAATATGCGTGTTGGTTGCTAAGGTAAGATGTCATGAATGTGTGTGTTGGATGCCAAGGAAACATTAATGTGCGTGTTGGTTGCCCAGGAAACATTAATGTGCGTGTTGGTTGCCAAGGAAACATTAATGTGTGTGTTGGTTGCCAAGGAAACATTAATGTGCGTGTTGGTTGCTAAGGAAACAATAATGTGCTTGTTGGATGCATAGGAAACATTAATATGTGTGTTGGTAGCCAAGGAAACATTAATGTGCGTGTTGGTAGCCAAGGAAACATTAATGTGCGTGCTGGTTGCCAAGGAAACATTAATGTGTTTTTTGGTAGCCAAGGGAACATGTTACGGATGTTTGTGTCGGTTACGGGGGAACATGTCATAGATATTTCAATGTGTTTCAGCCGCACGGATGGCAGACATGTGGAAGATGACGTATGTTGATGCCGAAGACTTCAGCAACATCGCCATTCATGAAGATAAGAAAGACCGGAAAAAATGTCCATGTTGATGGATTGAGTTCATGTGTCGTTTACCTTGATATGCTGGGAATAGGTAAGCGACTGGATATCTGTGAGACATTTGGACATCTGTGAGACATGTGGAAATCTGTGAGACCTCTCGAAATCTGTGAGACGTCTCGAAATCTGTGAGACATGTGGAAATTTGTGAGACGTCTCGAAATCTGTGAGACATGTGGAAATCTGTGAGACGTCTCGAAATCTGTGAGACATCTGGAAATCTGTGAGACATCTGGATATCTGTGAGACGTCTGGAAATCTGTGAGACATGTGGAAATTTGTTAGACATGTGGAATATGTTTTTTACATCTGGACATCTGTGAGTCATCTGACCCTCGGATACATCAGTACGTCTGTGAGACAGGGAGCATTATGGCAAGAAACAGTAACTCTTACAGGGCAAATTGGCAGTCCGATGTGGTTTCATGCCGTTGGAACAGACTCTGATTGTCTGCTGCTGTGACTGGATCATGTAGAACAATATACTGGTAGCAATAATTACAAGGAGAAATTTCACAAATTGACTTATAACAATATCTAGACCCGTGGGACCCGGGTAGAATGTGTCCCCAGCACCCCATAACGACTAAGTGGGAACATGAGGGGATACCGGGTTACAATTGGTCCTTATATTATACAGAAAGATGACATTCTTATTCACAAATGGCTGTTATGTTAATACTGCTTTATGAGATAACAATGATTTTTAAATGAGTAAGTGTTGTGTTCAAGGCTGATTAATCGCTCCTTATTTATTGCCAGACAAGGCCACTGAAGACACGTCCTCATGCTGCAACTAACATGTTGCTACTTTAAGGAAACACGTTAAAATACCACTGGCCCCCCTACCCAAACCAATAGTACGTGGTTCAGTGTCAACCCATTGCTTCCATACTCCACTGTGCATCGATTCAAACGTCATGAATATTGCTACACGCATTAACATTTCATCAGTTTTATAACGTCCTAATGATCGGGACGGATTATTCTGTAGGTATGTTAGTATGAACACTGCATGCCCCATGACTGACGTTAACCTCTTCCGGTACAACCCCCCCCCCCCCCCCCCCCCCCCCCCACACACACACACACACACACAACACCTCCCCCGAGAGGGAGGGGACACATATTGTTTTTGCCTCCGTACCCGTTGGCGTCGACGTTCCCGTCTTGTTCGGACCCATAACTTGAAAACCGTTCCATATTCTTCAATGAAACTTGGCATATGCATTGCTCTTCAGCTAAACAGGTTCCTTTTGCCATTTCATTTTTTTCAAAAACATATGTCTATGCTTCCCTGGACACAATTTCGAGTTATTCTCAAATGAGGGTACGGTTCTTTTCAGGGCCATAACTTGAAAACCGTTCAATATTTTTTAACGAAACTTGGCATATGCATTACTCATCATTGTAACTGGCGCATTTGTTATTTTGATTTTTTTCCATATTTTATTTTGTACGTTTCTAAGGAAACAATTTCGGCATAGTCTTAAATAGCTCTTGGCTTCGTTTCCGAGCGATAACTCTCAAACTTATGAATATTTTTGCATGAAACTGTACGTGTGCTCTACTATTTTCTTTTCATATTTCTAAATTTTTAATTTTTAAAAATTTCTTGTGAATAATTTGGAAATTCTTAAGAGTCTTAATACTGTAATGCTGCTTCATTCATGCATTAATCAGAATCTGTACTAGTATGTTTTTTAGTATTAATCTTTTTAGGATTTCCAAACACATTTACAGTAACAACGTGAACTTATGTATGGGATGAGGCGTTGTCGTTTATTGAAATACCTTTCATTTAACCGTTGCTGTTTAAAAGTATTTCAGAATCGGACAAACAGTTTCAAACTACTCTTTGCAATGTGGCCGCTTTGATTGGAGCGCTGTATTTTATTATATGATTTTTGTTATAAAGTGATTACTCTCCTGCTTATGTCAAGTGGGACTCCTGACGCGGCGCATTTCGCTATGCAGGGGTGGGTGAGGAGGGGGGGGGGGGGGGGGGGGGGGGGGTGCGGGGGTGCCGTGTGTGGACTCGTAGTGTAAAAAACGTGACTATGCTTGTCGTAAGAGGGTACTAACGGGAACGGGTGGTCAGGCTCGCTGACTTGATTGATGCATGTCATTGAATCCCAATTGCGTGAATCGATGCTCATGACATCAATCACTGGACTGTCTGGTCCAGACTCGATTATTTACAGACCGCCGTCATATAGCTGGAATATTGATGAGTGCGGCGTTAAACAACAAACAAACAAACAAACAAACAAATTCGTTATATTCGGGAATAGCGGGGTATTCGGGGATTTAAAGAGCTGAACGTTCGTGTGCACGCTTCGACGTCCGGTACCGGTGGTGCACAACCCATTCCCCTCGCAAGATCCCATACCTACCTCCAGTTACACGTGTCACTCACAATACTCTTACAACGTTGAACAACGCCACCAGACTCTCCGTTGACGCACCAGAACCAGCCTCGATCTCAGGGCCTCGTGTCAGAGCAAGTGAACAATATAACAAATGTTATATTTGGGATAAAACTTTCTAAGTAAAGTACAGATTCTCGTACTTCAAATCCCGAACGGGACTCAACCCAAAAAAGTACGAGAATCTGTACTTTACTAAGAAAGTGTTATCCCTAATATAACCTTTGTTACATTTGATCCCTTTCCAAATGGCATTGTGTATTCACAGTTTTCGGCCATGGGAGTCGTGCAAATTTACACTTGTCAGAGGGTACTCAAAGTACGTGATCTAGACTACCAGTTGTCGGACTTTCATTTTGTGGAAGCCTCGGTGGCTGAGTTGGTTAGATCGCTGACTTTGTGTGCTGGCGATTGGTGCCTCACTCTGGCAGTGTGGTTTCGAATACCGGAAGAGACTCAACCCCCAAAAGTGCGAGAATCTGTACTTTACTAAGAAAGTGTTATCCCAAATATAACATTTGTTACATTTGACCACTTTCAACATGGCAGTGTGTATTCAAAGTGAACAATAGTATACCAACTATAACACTATCTGTTTATATTGAATACGTTAGGTTGAATGTTTAATGACAGGATCTAACACACTGGCTTTATCAACGATGGCTGTGAACCGCTATCACTACGCTGAATAACACTGCTCTTCAAGTGTCCACACAATAGTCGCCATGTGTATCCCGATGAAGAGGCAAGTCTCTGTATCGTTCAAATGGAATAATTATTTGAATTAACAACTTACTTCGACTTATAGTCTTAGGATTCGATCGCTGAAAAAAGTTCCCTTTCAAAACATGGACTCAAATAACATGAACAAATAAACTTGTCAGAGGGGTGCAGAAAGTACATGATCTAGACTACCAGTTGTCGGACTTTCTTTTTGTGGAAGCTTCGGTGGCAGAGTGGGTTAGATCGCTGACTTTGTGTGCTGACGATTAGGTGCCTTACTCTGGGAGTGGAGTGTGGATTCGAATTCTGGATGCGACTCAACCCACAAAAGTATTAGAATATGTACTTTACTAAGAAAGTGTTATCCCAAATATAACATTAATACCTTTGATTTCTTGAAATGCACACGTACGGTGCCTTCTTTTCCCAATTGAGAGAATTATAAACTGCCGGGCAAAAGAAAATTACCCTTGGAAATTTGATTTGACCCCAAAATTGCAAACGTTATTAAAACATCACTTGGCAGAACCACTGTAAACTTCAGGCCCAAAACACTACTACGATACCCGCATCAAATACTCACCATCGAATAACGATTTCTCGTTTGTTTCCTCTTCAGCAACCATCAAGCATGGGTGTATTCTTTCACTAAACATTATCCCTCCCACTGTGATTATCTCCATTCTATTACATGTTGTACAACACTGGGTTACTGCTGATATCCTGTTTTAGGTAAAACAGTATTATTATATACAATTTCGTAATTTCAATATTATCAAAATCGTTAAATAAATAGTTTATCGAAATCTTTTCCCATTAGCACAGAGTCAATTGTCATCGATAGCTTCGAGAATAGTGCGTGTCGCCTGAACTCAAGATCCTGTTCCGTGTTTGAACGTGTTTACTATTTATTACTACTTAATATGCGCAGTAAGACGAATGTCACGTATTTCTCTGTCGGTATGAAGGGTGAAACGCTGACGTCTGGACTCCAGGTAAAGTTTTATTTTTTTGTGATTAATTACTTGTGACTTCTTTCCAGGCATCTTCCCGAGACAAGGGAGTTAACTGGAAACTGGACTTTTATACAGTCAGGTGACTACTTTCCCTCGGGAAGATGCTTCCCAGGACCCTTGCTCGGTATCATCTTTATCTGTTGTTACTGGTAAACTGTCCCTCGTTAGAATGTTTTTATTTATTTATTCCTAAAAAAATTATTCCTGCCAGGTCCTTAAATAAGTGTGACATGTATGTTTGATAAAGGCTACAAAATCGAATTAGATTTGTTGCACGATAAGGATGTTAAACCAAGACAGGACCTCGGTTTCTATCTTCATTGACGATATGGCGGTGTTGATACAATAGCGATTTGACGTTTAAAAACATCTAACAAAACAAGAGGTGATTTGTGAACAGGGCGACGGAAAGGCGCATACATACATTGTCACGATATTATGAAAGGCCAACGTAACAATATCTTTATATCCACAGTTTATCCATCTTACCGAGGCAAGGGAGTTAACTGGCCGTAAAAGTCCAGTTTCGACCCTTGCCGAAATTGTCCGGAATTTCCTGGTTCGATCGTAGCACCACCAGTGGCTTTGACGAGTTGTGTCCCTTCTATGTCCCTCCTATTGATCAATCAAACTCCACCTATCATTTGTGTTTATATCAAATAAAATGGCAGCGCCCAGTGAAGACGATCTAATCGATAATTAAGATCTATATTGTAATAAAACGGATCTTATTTCGCGAAGTGCATCAAATAACTAGAACACCTTGATTAAAAACATGAACAAATTTGGAAAAATTTCTGTTGAACACATGCCTTGCAAATCTCGAATCGACCGAAATCTGCACAGTAGTTTACGAACCGGATGTTGATTTCGTTACGCGATTTTGACAGGACTATGCATAGACTCGTTGGTCAAGCAAAAATATAACTCCATAATTCCTGTCAAGTTCGGCAAGGGTGGAGACTGGAGACTGGACTTTTAATGTCAGTTATCTCCCTTGCCTCGGGATGATGCATTGTACCCATGAAGGCCGTAAAAGGCGACTACACTTGTAAGAGGCGACAAATGGGATCGGGTGCATGTCATCGTATCCCAATTGCGTAGATCGATGCTTATGATGTCAATCACTCGACTGTCTGGTCCAGTCTCGTCATATAGCTGGAATATTGATGAATGCAGCGTTAAAACAAACAAACAAACAAAATATCCACACTTATAACCTGCCGCCAAGATGTCGAATGTGTAGTTAACATAACGTCAACAATGATACGCCTTGACGTCAAAACCATTGTGACGTATCAAACATCAAATCAACAATGTTGTCTGTATTATGTAAATATAGAAACAAAATTGGTATAACACGGAAGCGAGTTTGGCATTTTATTATTTTCTACTTGTCGTTTACTGTCGTGTGTGAATAGGAAGACATCTACGCGATCCACAGCATAATCCAATTGAGTTATTAATTTAATGCCATAAAACAACCCACCCCCGTTTCACAAAGCTATCGTCAAGCAAAGGTTAGCGTTACTCCCATACTTTAACATGGACTTACGACTGTCGTTGAGTGACGATCGCCTTGTGGAACGTGGTCCTGCAGCACAAAGTTTACAATCACGTCACTATACCCTAAGACGTAATTTGTGACAATTTGTTGAGGTGAGGTGAGGTGAGGTGAAATTGGGTTTAACATCGCGTCCAAGATTATTGCATTTATATAGCGACCTGCATATACGTGTTTGTGGATGCTTGTACTAGTCGGGAATGATGCCGATGAATAGTGCTAGAACACTGAATACCCCACTCAGACTCAGTATACTGACTCCGAGCCGACCAGTCCTTGTTTTAGCCCCTTAATGCCGAGCGCCAGACAGGGTAACAACAAGTACCATCTTTTAACGCCTTTTGGTATGACGCGGCCGGGGATCGAGTCCCGGACCTTCCGCTCTCCGGGCGGACGCTCTACCACTAGACCAATCTGTTGAGAGACACACCGGCGAAACAATACCATGTGACGTCAGCCTAGCTACAGGGTTGCTCATCGGGTGTGCTTAAGCTTCTCTTGGTGATCTAATATCTCTACGCGCGATGTCGTTGAATAAGCCTATGGATATTGAGAGTTTTCAGTATTTGTTTGTGAAACCTGTTCCTGCAGTACATAGCCATGCGCTTTGGTATTAAACACTGTGTAATACAAGCTTATTGTTATTAAACGGGTGAGTAATAAACAGTTTTATTACCCATAAGGTTTGAAATAACCGAGTTAATAAAAACCAGTGTAATGTTTGCGTCATCCGGACGGCATCATTGACGTCAGTCGAATCTTATTGTGACGTAAGGTCGGAATGACATCACATGAGAAAGAACGTCATAGCTGAAGACTGGCGACGTCATCCGACAATTGTGGTTTATTACGACGGCGGTCGTGATCAGAGAAGCTCAAAAGCATAAAAAAATAATGGGCCATAAAGAAATTAATACACTTGCATGTGTTACGAAACTCGTATAAGAATCCATGTATATATACCCTCTCTCGCTCGGGAAATACAAGCTAGAATTCTGACACCCGTTTAGTAAAATCAGTATGACACACACGCTCTGTGTATTTTGTTGAGTCTGAAATCATTACTACACGTATTGGTTTTTAGTAACTCGCTCATATTTAATGATATGGATGAAAATAGTAGGTACCGGTAGTGGTAGTAACATTGCTCCCGGATTATTTCGTTTGTTTGTTTGTTTGTTTCTTGTTTAACGCCGCACTCAGCAATATTCCAGCTATATGACGGCGGTCTGTAAATAATCGAGTATGGACCAGACAATCCAGTGATTGATATCATGAGCATCGATCCACGCAATTGGGATCGATGACATGCATCAACCAAGTCAGCGAGCCTGACCACCCGATCCCGTTAGTCGCCTTTTACGACAAGCATAGTCACCTTTTACGGCAAGCATGGGCCCGGATTATTTCGAATGTTAATGAATAAAATGAAACAAATTAAAACAAAATAGGATACATAATCACACATAAATCACAAGGTAGATCTATACTTAAAACAAACACTCCACATAAGTTGACACAAAAATATCAAAATGAGACAAAAAATAATTTTATCTGATGATTTGGAAAGTTTTATTAACAATTCTACAAACTATATTTCAGGCATTATCAGCTAGTTTTTCTGACAATATTTATTTTAATCCACAATACCTGTGGTGAAAAATATAGTTCACAATATAATTAACAAAGAAATGATATGTGAAGTATAAGCTGTAAGACGTATTGGACAGTATAATATATAACGAGACGCCTTTTGCCCTTTAGTTGTGACCCACATCGTATCAAGAGCGTCGTGAATCAAGGGAAATAACTCTGATTTTCTCAACCAACTATATCAACACGGAAGAAAGTTTTGGACTTGGAAATACCCAGTTATTATCGGTGTTAATACAACACACGGAAGTTGCAGGTGATCCTTGCCGAACCATGTGTTGAACCGGAAACCAGTCGACTGTTGGTCACCGATGTTGTCACTTTGAAAATACGAACTTTAGTATCCGTTTTGTCAGTGAATGTCATGTTCTGTGTTCGTTAGTGATCGTCTCGAAATCAGCTGACGATTGGCAGCTGACAATATTAGTCAAGCTTCAACAAATACGCCAAGATGATCAACAATAATCCAACATCCCCATCAAACTCACGTAAGTACTCGATCTTGACGATGACAATTAACTGTTTCCTGTTTGGTTGATGCGATCAGTTTGTTGTAAGGCTAATAATAACACAGCTCTGTGTACGGCGAAATCTTGTTAATCCGGACTAAACCTGATACTGTTAATTTTTCGGATTTTTAACATGCTCCTTGATAAACAAAGCGTTAATGTTTCTCGTTAAAGTTCCAACAATAAAAGTAACTGCATTGTTTGACAAGGTGTCACTATATTTATGGTTAAAGGGCTACCTATATTTTACATTGTTGTTTAGGTAAATATAAGTTAACCTCTTACAACAAGCATAGTTGCCTCTTACGACAAGCATAGTCACCTCTTATAACAAGCATAGTTGCCTCTTACAACAAGCATAGTCACCTCTTACAACAAGCATAGTCCCCTCTTTCAACAAGCAAAGTCGCCTCTTACAACAAGCATAATCGCCTCTTACAACAAGCATAGTCGCCTCTTACAACAAGCATAGTTGCCTCTTACAACAAGCATATTTGCCTCTTACAACAAGCATAGTCGCCTCTTACAACAAGCATAGTTGCCTCTTACAACAAGCATAGTCGCTTCTTACAACAAGCATAGTTGCCTCTTACAACAAGCATAGTCGCCTCTTACAACAAGCATAGTCGCCTCTTACAACAAGCATAGTCGCCTCTCAATACAAGCATAGTTGCCTCTTACAACAAGCATAGTTGCCTCTTACAACAAGCATAGTCGCCTCTTACAACAAGCATAGTCGCCTCTTACAACAAGCATAGTTGCCTCTTACAACAAGCATAATCGCCTCTTACAACAAGCATAGTCGCCTCTTACAACAAGCATAGTTGTGTCTTACAACAAGCATATTTGCCTCTTACAACAAGCATATTTGCCTCTTACAACAAGCATAGTTGCCTCTTACAACAAGCATATTTGCCTCTTACAACAAGCATAGTCGCCTCTTACAACAAGCATAGTCGCTTCTTACAACAAGCATAGTTCCCTCTTACAACAAGCATAGTCGCCTCTTACAACAAGCATAGTCGCCTCTTACAACAAGCATAGTCGCCTCTCAATACAAGCATTGTTGCCTCTTACAACAAGCATAGTCGCCTCTTACAACAAGCATAGTCGCCTCTTACAACAAGCATAGTCGCCTCTTACAACAAGCATAGTCGCCTCTTACAACAAGCATAGTCGCCTCTTACAACAAGCATAGTCGCCTCTTACAACAAGCATATTTGCCTCTTACAACAAGCATAGTTGCCTCTTACAACAAGCATAGTTGCCTGTTATGACAAGCATAGTTGTCTCTTACAACAAGCATAGTCACCTCTTACAACAAGCATAGTTGCCTCTTACAACAAGCATATTTGCCTCTTACAACAAGCATAGTTGCCTCTTACAACAAGCATAGTTGCCTCTTACAACAAGCATAGTTGCCTGTTATGACAAGCGTGGATTGCTGAAGACCTATTCTAACCCAGATCTTCACAGGTCATATGCATCACAAGGGAGAAATGCCAGGTAGTTAGTTCATCTATGCATACACGCAATAAGGAAGTCCTGCTTTAGTACCACCCACATCATGATAAAATTGAATGAACATCCTTAGCACTTTGCATATGCTGTATATAAATCTTTTGCCTCACTGTGTATAGTCCTGTTTAGAAACATATTGTTGTCGTCTGACAAGCTGGCTATTTATTCATTGAGGAAAGTTTCAGTAAGGAAGAACAAAAATATTTAAATACAAAATGTTATCAAACAACTAAATATTCATACAAGCAGTTTGTAATAAAGCTTTGTTACATGATTTCCTCTAAACCCTTGTCGTAACGGAACATGTTTAACTGTGGTTATAATTCTGAATGATAATAATAATGATAATAATAATAATAATATTAATAATAATAATAATAATAATGGGAGGGCATGGTTTGATTAACATTGGTGCTCCCTCATGATAGAATTGTTTTGTGCACTTTTGCACACATTTATTTGTCTGATGATCCTCTTGTAAAGCATGTCAAGACTCATGATGAAAACAAGGTATTCCACAGTTTTCTAAAACGAGCCAAGCCGTAATCTCAATGTTGGTGTTGATTTTGTTGATGGTTCTGTACTGCTGGACGGTACAGAAATGAGTGTCAACCAAGTGAAGTGCCATGTCAAATCGGCCCAGACTCAGTTTTTCAGACAGAGAGGCTGTCTAAACGACTACTGCATCGAGTTTATGTGCAGTGTGTTGAGCAGTTCAGCAACCCTGCAGAGTCCTTCGCTTGGATGAAGTCGGCTGGCCTGAAAAGTGAAACAGAAGGCTTTCTGTTTGCTGCTCAGGACCAGTCACTTCTCACGCGAAACCGTCAATGTGTGATTTTGCTTCAAAATGTAAATATGAAATGTAGATGAATGAGACTGTCCAACACATTTTCAGTGGATGCCCTGATTTGGCACAAACACAGTATCTTAAGTGACATGATGGAGTGGCTCGATCATTTTATTACCGTCTTCACCATGCTTGTGGTTTTGACACAGAGGTCCATCCATGGTATGACACAGAATGTGTAGAGGGCGTCATGGAAAATGATAAGTACAAAATTCTTTGGAATAGGCCTGTATACAGCCTCAGACGTATCCAGGCCAACAAACCTGATCTTGTCCTTTTTGATAAATCCAATGACATCATTTATATCATTGAATTTTCTGTCCCTTTTGACACTAATTTTATTGACAAGATTAAGGAAAAACAAAGAAAATATGCGGACCTCGTTTTCGAAATGTCATGTTTGCATCCCAAGTACCAAGTTGTCCAACTCCCCATTGTTCTTGGTGCCTTAGGTTTGGTACCTCCCAATCTGTTGTCTGACATTGGGAGAGTACCCGGGTTTGCTACCAGGAATACATCCCGTCTGACAATCTGGGTAATGCAGAAGGCTGCAGTGTTGAGGAGTCTTCACATTCTCCGAAAAGTTCTCAGTGGGTTGGACTAGGCAGCGCTTCCTGGGAGAAGTCCCATTTGCTGCCTGGGCTGCGTGTAGAGGGGGCAATTTTTCATTTGTATGGCACATTTTCAGTAGTGAATATCATGCTTAAAGTGCATCATGACCCCAGTCAATGGGTCAGTGTGACAATCATTCTCAGCACCCTGGGGAGTATACTGCCTGTGAGGCAGCATGATTCATCAATAAACCAAGATGGAGGAGCCCAATGCCCCCACATGCTTAGTGTTTAGGAGTTTGAATGTGTATATTATACACTGTTTCTAGCTATATTTCAGAAAGTAACAGGGCGGTTACAGATGTTGATAGTGAATAATTTTGTCACGAGGTAAAAAAATTGAAACGTAAAATGCGTTGTACAGGATTTTTTAAATCATTTTAAGTTTTGATTTGAATCAGTAGGTGATAAAAAATGTAAATTCACAAGGTTTTGAGTCCTCATGCATATACGAGGAACAATATTTAAGGGAACCCCTCTCATTAATCAGCTGTAAAAATGAAATACTGTCTTTGTTGCATGAGACAGTTTCTGAACGCAGATAGCAAACTTGCTCCAACTTTGCACATTGCACATGGATAGCATGCCCTCCACAGTGACACATTTTTGGTAATGGCATGAGCCAATATACGTCACAACACATGGTTCATTGATCAGGTACAAAGAAAGAACATGACTCCCCAAGTGTTCATGACAGAAAATGAAAAATTGCTCACAATAGGCTCGACTGAATCTGGCCAGTCACAGACTTAAGTTTGCCGGACACTTTGGTGAATCTAAAAGTGTGGTATCCTGACTGATATCGGCGAATGGGTGGGTAGAGGAAAGCCTAGAAAGCCACTCCCTGGCAGGATTGATATGTTCTCAACATTGTGTTGAGAAATAGATTTATTTCTGCTCCAGAATTGGGGGACAATTTCATGGCTGCCACAGGAATCTGACTTTCGACGTCAATGCAACGAAACAGGTTGAAAACTGTGGTTGTGAAATCAGGACGTCCTTCCAGATGAATGCTTCTGACTGGCACAAAGATCCCTCAGACAACAGTAGGCACAGAAGTTTGGAAGTTGTCAACTCTGGCATAAGCGATGTGTTTTTGTGGAATAGAGGCTGTGTTTATGCTTTACAGATAGTAGAAGTGTTTGGAGAGGGTGCGGAGAGAGGTACTTTCCAGCAGCAGTCCAAGAGTATGTGGTGTGCGGTACTGTGGTGGCAGCACCATGCCCTCAGTTGGCATCTCCTACGACAACAGGGTGATCACACAAGGGAATATGATTGGTCAACGTTATGTGGACCAAATGTTATGTTCAGTGGTCATCCCATTTGACCAGCGAGTAGGTCAGAACTTTGAGTTCCAGGATGACAACGCACGTCCTCAGAGAACTCATGTTGCAGTTGACTGTCTGAGGCAGCAAGGTGTCACAACATTGACCTGGCCAGCCAAATCACCAGACATGTCACCCATTGAACATCTTTGGGATGTTCTGGGCAGACTTCTAGGTTCCCAGACTTTGGAACAACTTGGGCAGGCCTTACAAGAAGAATGTCGAAGGGTACAATGTGAGCAATCTGGTGACATGAACGTTATTGTATGGTGATGACGTTTACGTCTCCTGTCACAAGTATTAATTATGGCAGAAGTTGTAATTCATAAGATGTCATGTTGTTCTTGCAAAGATAATTTATTTGGGACTGATATTCTCCTACAACTTTGATATCCATGTGTCTTTGTACATTTACATATATACATTTATTTTATACAAATATGATACATTTATTTACAACCGCTGTCATATAGCTGGAATATTGCTTAGTGCGGCGTTTAACAACAAACAAACAAATATTTATTTACGTTGTCCTACTCTGTATTGCATGCAGAACGCTAGTGGAACCTCCGACCATGCAGGCAGCACATGAGAAGACGACCTCGCTCAGACGACATGTTCAGAAGGTGAAGGTCGTGACAGTGGGCGACATGGATGTGGGGAAAACATGTCTGACATTGAGGTTTATGAAGAACACGTTCAACGAAGAAAGCCGTGGCACTGTGGGTGGTAAGTACATGTCTATCTTATATCTGTCATTTGTACATTTCATCTTCACTGTTCCTCTTAAAACATGTCAGGCTAATATCCCTCCCTAAATTAATCGTACAACCACATGAGAAAACACATTAAGAACTGGTAGTGGGACGATATACCGATGCATCAGTGGATCGCGATTTTTTACTTCTCAATACAAGTATTGATCACAATCGTGAATTAAGTAAAAAGTATCGATTCTTGCCTTATAAATGCATTCTCTAATATATGAGACCCACCAGGAGATAAGGGACCTTATGGGTGAAAAATCACATTTTGACTTTTCGTTGTATTTTAAAACAACAGTATACAATTCACAAGCTTCAATTCATATTTATTAACTAGATACAGCAACATTTGCACTCATTTTCTGACTTATAACTGTTTTGATAGAATTGAATTTGTCATGAATTAAAAGTACACCTCTATGTCGAAGGGTTTTGAAATATTCTTTTTATCACATTATGAACTAAAGAAGAAAAATAAGGTATTTTTGTACAGACCGCACACATGGCAATCTTCAATAGAGTAAGTTGGCGTAAAACATCTTTATGATGTCACAGCACAGTTGTATCCCAGCAGCTTTAAGGTCACTTTTCTCCTGGTCGGTCACATGTTACCCAAACACTAATTACGAGTGAAAACGTAAATATTTTCATCCATTGCCCCATACTTGAAACTGCCAACTGTGAATCGTTAGTGTGCCGGGTATTTGGCCATCCTGTCTATGAAAAAGATGGCTTACGCACCATAGATAACAGCACATGCGAGTACCGTGATCGTAAGCAAGGTATCGTGATACATATCAGATCACACAGTTGGTGTATCGTCCCAGCCCTATCAATAACCTATGCTCTGCTCTGACAAAGTTTGGTTGTTTTGTTTGTAGTTTATTCCACATTCAGCAGTATTCCAGTTGCATGATGGTGGTCTGTAAATAATCAGTGGTCCTGGGAATGAGGCAGTTCTTATTCTCTATTATATAAACAACAAGTCAAAAAGATAATGTCTGAAATTTAATAAGGCAAAAACAGAAACACAAAACCTTTACACCAGTGAATATATCCCCCAAAGTACATCTTTTTCACATTCCCCAAAAGTGTGAATAATTACTTTCTATCATAAAATGGCATTAACTTCCCGATAATGGAAGTTCTTAATCTAATGTTATCAAAGACTAGAGTCCTATGGACGTCTTCATCCTACAACGATAATATGTCAACTGATGATGTTAGTTGTTTTAACATAGTCTGTCAGATACAGAGCATGATTAGCACGAGATTTACAAAAAAACATGTTGAAGTTGTATAGCAATGGATGTGTTTGGACGAGCTGTCCCAAGTTAAGTGATGGGTGTGTTTGGGCGAGCTGTCCCAAGTTAAGTGATGGGTGTGTTGGGACGAGCTGTCCCAAATTAAGTGATGGATGTGTTTGGGCGGGCTGTCCCAAGTTAAGTGATGGGTGTGTTTGGACGAGCTTTCCTAAGTTAAGTGATGGGTGTGTTTGGACTAACTGTCCTAAGTTAAGTAATGGGTGTGTTTGGACGAGCTGTCCCAACTTAAGTGATGGGTGTGTTTGGACGAGCTGTCCCAACTTAAGTGATGGGTGTGTTTGGACGAGCTGTCCTAAGACAAACCACAAACAACTGTTTCCTTCTGTTCAGATCCTATTCCACAAAGCGATCTTAGCGCTAAGGTAATCATAACTCATATCCATCAACACATACTTACAACAGTTGTAGCGCTACAATTGCTGTGTTGAATGGGGCCCTGGTCTGAACAACCAGACAAATCAGTGGTTGATATTATGAGCAACATCACACAAGGTAAAGATGACTTGCTACACAAATATGACCAAACACAGGAACTGATGGTTACAATGCTCTGCAACTACAAGTAACGCTGACTTGCCAAAGATTGGCGGCAGTCAAGTTTCAAATTTAGAAGTTTGACATTTTTGTACATCAGAAAGTGGGTTTGCATCACGTCTTCTCCTTTCCTACTGCTATTGTGACTGGAAAGATGATTCTTTTCACAATAAATGTTTGAAGACAGCTGTGTCGGAGAAGAAAGCCCTTGAACACAATTGAAAGATGTGCCCATAAAATGCCAATATTGTGTAAAATATCTCAATTCTGTCCATGTTGATATATGTTGTGGAATCAACTTCAGTGTACTTGTGATGTGATGTTGTGCACAGGTCACAGGTCACAGGTCACAAATCAGGTGAAATAAAGCAATGTTGTTCGTGGACCGTAGTTGGATGTATGACCGTGTTTGGCAGCTTGACTCCTGAGAGTTTCTAGGCCTTCGATCCTGCTCATCACTGAAGCACATGTAGCACATGTGGTGTCTTCTTAGGCATGTGACTTTGTTGGAAATATTCCTATGTTCACCCAGCTGTGAATGGGTACCAGGTAGGATGAGATGGTAATGTGACTGTTAACCTTCTGGCACCTTGTATACCCCCCAGAGAGCTGTGCTGTTTATATTGATCCATGGACCAGGGTAATGATGTAATGAGCATTCCTAGGGTGTGGATTTGCTGCTTTATACACATTATACAATTACAAGGAGTACTGAGTTCATGAGGTGAGGTGAAATGGGGTTTAACGTCGCGTCCAAGATTATTGCACTTACAGAGCGACATGCATGCACGTGTGTGTGTGTGGCTACTTGTACTAGTCCGGACTGATGACGATTTTATAGTGCAAGCCCACTGAGATACCATGCCACAGTTTAACATGAATACCCCACTCAGACACGATATACTGACTCCAAGCCGACCAGTCCTTGTTTTAGCCCCTTAATGCTGAGTGCCAGGCAGGGTAACAAGAAGTACATGAGGTGAGGTGAGGTGAGGTGAGGTGAGGTGGAAGTACAATCTTCCGCTCCCCGGGCATATGCTCTACCACTAGACCACGGGGGTGGTTGTGTTCAAGAGAGAATTACAGATGGCTCTAGTTATGACTGCAGATCCCATCACATTCTTCACTCTGAGTCATCCTATGGTGTCCAGCACCCTGCTGTTATTGATTAGTCCAATAATTTGGTGGTTCCAAAGGTGTGATTGCTGACAGCATGTCATTACACCCCAAAAATATTGCTGTCGACGCAGCAAACAACTCGCTCCTTCCCTCCCTCCCTCCCTCACTCACTCACTCACTCCCTCCCTCCCTCACTCACTCACTCACTCACTCACTCACTCACTCACTCACTCACTCACTCACTCACTCACTCACTCACTCACTCACTCACTCACTCACTCACTCACTCACTCACTCACTCACTCACCCACCCACCCACTCACTCATGAAAACAATCATGTATTTGTCAAGATGAATTTGGAAGACACCAAATTAAAGAGATTTGGAATGTTTCAAAGTAGTAGATTTCACTGAGAATTGTCCAATCAAATCAATGGAAAGTTTTAATACTGATCCTCATTGTGAGAAAAGCTGACTTAAGATACATGTTATCCTATTTTCCAGCAAGTTTCCTAGCCAAGGCGGTGGACATCCCAGACAAGACTGTCATATTTCAGGTGTGGGACACAGCAGGGCAGGAGAGATTCCGCAGCCTCATCCCCATGTATCTCCGGGACGCCAAGGCAGCCATTGTTGTGTATGATGTCACAGACCTGGTAAGTAATGCGTCAAGCATATTATCCCCTGTCATGAAGTGGGACGGGGATATAACTTTGGGCCCCAATGGTCCGTCCATCCATCCATCCTTAATTATTTCTGTCCAATTTCAGTGGAGAACTTTTTTCAGAAGGATGAAGTTTTGTAATGTTGAGATAAGTTTGTTGATTGAGTGCTAAAACCAGGTTGTAAAATTTACTTTTGAGATAGTTATGTCCCTTGTTTGATATTTTCGACATCATGCACAGGACCTTCAGTGGAGAACATTTTCTCTTGGAAACCACTGAGGATACAAAGATGACTCTTTGCAGTCAGATGTATAGGTAGATCAAGATGGACACGCAGCTTTGAGAATTAGGGCTCAGTCACACATTGTGGATTTTTGCTACTGTCCTTGATAGGACTATTCCTGATTAAAATTTGTCAAAAGTCTGATCAAGATCCTGTGATTTGTGGCGGGAAATTAACAAACAATAACATATTGTTCAGGAATCGTCCCAATTCACCCGTTTCCAGCCGAATTGGTCCTGATTCACCCATTCTCAATTCGATTCTGATTCGATTTGTATCTTCCGCATAGTAGAAAATGACAGAATCTGTCCCGACAGCATCCCGATTCTCCCAAATGCGATCCGAGAGAGATCAGACAGTGACCGGACAGTGAACCGACAAAGACGGTTCGCATTCGGCAAGATCTGGAAAGAATCTGGACTCACACAGGACACTGTAACGATTTTGATCCGATAGAGCAGAATCTGTCACGACATAGTCACGATTGTAATCTGACAAAATCGGCTGAGTTTCCCGAATCCGAAAGGGGCACACCATACTGTTGGGAGTGCTTGGCTGACCTCTCTGGACCTTTCCCGATCTGTGCGACTTTGTTACGAACGTATACGACTGCATTAAGACAATGATAGACATTCCAGACCATTGAGGATAGTAATCCCACTTTTTCACGTTTCGTGTCGTAGTGCTGTCTGATCTCAAACGGGAGCCATAATCGGGGCTGTGTGAACCTGGCCTTAATACTTTACAGAGTTATGGCTCTCGTTTGATCTTTGGGAGTTAGTGCACAGTAATGCCTGGAAACCACAATACAGTCAAGTCTTGGTAATCTGACACTCGTTAATCCGACAATCAGCTTTATCCGACACTAATGATGGGAACCGATTCAATCAGTGCTATTTAGACCTGTTAATCCAACAGTCTCCCAGTCCGACTCCGACACACCTAATTTGCAGCGAATTACCGAAATCACTCATTTATCAGTCTCGTTAATCCGACACAGTAATCAGCGTATTCCGTGACCATCTGCCCGCGAGTATACAGCCCGTGTTTTGATGCGAGACAAATCAGCTGGTAGCTGCATATTACAACGGCTGCAGAGATAAACTTGCTTAACAATAAACAATTAATGCTTTAAATAAAGAAAACAGGATAAATCACATGCCTAGATTACCTCAATCTTATGAAAATCAGATACAAGTTCTTGCTATCGACGAGGACATCCCATTATAGGTCACGTCAGAACAACCTTTCGCGAACTTTGACCTACCTATGAATTGACCAACAGGAAGTCAACGTTAGCCACTTAGAAAGCAGCTTTCGCTTTGGGTCCCAGTTTCAAAGTTGCGACTTCCATTCCAGACCATGCTTTTGGAAGTATTTTGAATAAGTCATACAGTCCATAACAGTTGTTTTGTGTTTAGAGGTTGCATGATTAGAAAACATATTCCGCCAACAATGTAACATAACAATATGAATATTTATTTTATATTGTTTATTACTTGTTTGAATTCTTATCTATTGGGTAGTTGTCCGATTTTCAATCACGAACGTTGATAGTACTTAATTTTGTTTATCCGACATACTCGTTAATCCGACATAATCATATGCAACCATCGATGACGGATTAACGGGACTTGACTGTAGATGACATTTATAGGAATACATCTCAATGTGATGAATATGTTATCAATTTAGAAAACTGCCATAGAGAATAAACAGTTAACAGAGGCACTTGTATAATTTTCTTTTGTATTTGCTCTAATAAGGATAAAGTTCCCTTCAAGAGCAAAACTCAAAAACTGTTCGCTACATCTCTGTGAATCTTTGCATACTCTTCAAATGCTGAACTGGTGCCTTTCAATATTGAAATTGTGCATAGGGTTTGTTTTAGGTGCCAAACCTTTACCTTTTTTTGAAACCTTGCAAATTTAACGGACTAGGCTAGTTATGACTCTTGCCCATTGTTTTCACAGAAATAAAAAGATATTTTATAAGCGAACAAGGATAACAGGGAATATAGAGGACTACTTGTTTATGATGTCTTTGCTTGAATACGCAGCTTGCAGTGGCTTGAAACAATACTGACTCACTCAAGCACCTGTAAACTACACTCTTCCGGCACATGATCAACGAGTCTGTGCAAATCTTATGAAAGGCTACACAGCAGTATGGTTGTGTTGTCACATGTTCACTAAAAGTGCATTGTTTTTTTGCCACACACTCAAACTGGTGATTCTTTCTGGACCTGTAAACATCAATGTATTTGTGTTTATTTGTGATTTGTTTACTAATGTATGTGATAACCCACAATAGGGTTGGGCCCCAAACAATGCATTATCAAACTGAAAAGTCATTTGACATGTGTGATGATGATGTTTTAATTTCACCTGATTCGATACTAGCATCACATATCATCACAAATTGTGTTGTGTTTGGTTATATTTGCGTGATATTCGACTGGGGTTCTGAAAGGTGAGTGAGCACAAATCAGGAATGAGATATGAGATGGAAAGGTTATCTGATATTAGAAGAGTCTTCTGTAGTGGTGAGGGTACAGATTGGATCAACTTATATTTGCAGGAATCATTCAAGAACATCAAAGGTCACTGGTTGCAAATGCTTCACAAACACGGCCCCACTGACATTCGAGTAGCCATTGTAGGCAACAAGATAGACAAAGAGACAGAGAAAGTTGTTCCCACAAGGGTAAGTGTAGGTGGAGAAAGTTGTGTCCACAAGGGTGAGTGTAGGTGGAGAAAGTTGTGTCCACAAGGGTGAGTGTGGGTGGATAAAGCTGTGTTCACAAGGGTGAGTGTAGGTGGAAAAAGTTGTTCCCACAAGGGTAAGTGTAGGTGGAGAAAGTTGTGTCCACAAGGGTGAGTGTAGGTGGAGAAAGTTGTGTTCACAAGGGTGAGTGTAGGTGGAGAAAGTTGGGTTCACAAGGGTAAGTGTGGGTGGAGAAAGTTGTGTCCACAAGGGTGAGTGTAGGTGGAGAAAGTTGTGTCCACAAGGGTGAGTGTAGGTGGAGAAAGTTGTGTTCACAAGGGTGAGTGTAGGTGGAGAAAGTTGTGTTCACAAGGGTGAGTGTAGGTGGAGAAAGTTATGTTCACAAGGGTGAGTGTAGGTGGAGAAAGTTGTGTCCACAAGGGTGAGTGTAGGTGGAGAAAGTTGTGTTCACAAGGGTAAGTGTAGGTGGAGAAAGTTGTGTTCACAAGGGTAAGTGTAGGTGGAGAAAGTTGTGTCCACAAGGGTGAGTGCAGGTGGAGAAAGTTGTGTCCACAAGGGTGAGTGTAGGTGGAGAAAGTTGTGTTCACAAGGTTGAGTGTAGGTGGAGAAAGCTGTGTTCACAAGGTTGAGTGTAGGTGGAGAAAGCTGTGTTCACAAGGGTGAGTGTAGGTGGAGAAAGCTGTGTTCACAAGGGTGAGTGTAGGTGGAGAAAGTTGTGTCCACAAGGGTGAGTGTAGGTGGAGAAAGTTGTGTTCACAAGGGTGAGTGTAGGTGGAGAAAGTTGTGTCCACAAGGGTGAGTGTGGGTGGAGAAAGTTGTGTTCACAAGGGTGAGTGTAGGTGGAGAAAGCTGTGTTCACAAGGGTGAGTGTAGGTGGAGAAAGTTGTGTTCACAAGGGTGAGTGTGGGTGGATAAAGTTGTGTTCACAAGGATGAGTGTAGGTGGAGAAAGCTGTGTTCACAAGGGTGAGTGTAGGTGGAGAAAGTTGTGTTCACAAGGGTGAGTGTAGGTGGAGAAAGTTGTGTCCACAAGGGTGAGTGTAGGTGGAGAAAGTTGTGTTCACAAGGGTGAGTGTAGGTGGAGAAAGTTGTGTCTACAATTGTGGGTGTGGTTGTGGATTGTGGGTGTTGAGAAAGTTGTGGATTCAAACTCAGAGGATCTTGGTTCAGCCAAGGGAAACAACTCTGATGATTGAGTTTGTATTGAGCTGGCCAATGGACCAGACATGTAACCATTGTTTAATTAGTATTGTCGTCAATAAGCCACAGGTCATCCTAAATAGATTCTTAGGCTAAAAAAGATAAAAGAATTTGTTCTCGGGTCTTGTTTTTTTAAAATATGGTGCTGCTGGGCGGTGTCTTCTGATGTTGTTGTTGTTGTTGTTGTTGTTCAAACTAGTACGTAACCAAATAAATAGCAATCAACCTGGGAAAGCGCCAACCTTCCGTGCCTACATAAATGTATTCCTTGATGAGTTAATTACTAGAATGTGACTACCAGTATGTGACTACCTTTGGACTTGGAATATTTAAGGATTTTTATATTTATATTTTTAAATGAAAATAAAAACGAAATATGTGGCAAACTTTCTGATGATACGGGCGTTGCCTTGAGAACCAGGATTATTATTTTTTTCAGCCTTATGTTTCTATTTATGATCATACTGACTGTTACAGGAAGCCCAGAAATTCGCGGAGGATCACAGATTTCTGTTTCTGGAAACATCAGCTCTGACAGGAGAAAATGTAGAAAAACTCTTTTATGATGTTGGTAAGTGCAGCCATGTATGACAGTAGAGGTGAAACAATACAGCAAGGTCATGATACGATACGTATCACAATACATAGGTAACATTACGATACATATAGTGATACACATATTTACATCAAATTGCGTGTAAACTTCTTGATTATAAATATTTCGGAGCATGTTCTAAAGGAAAAGCTTGCTGTAGACACATGTTCATAGCCGCAAAATACTGCTTTGTGAAAATGTCCAGTACAGTACCATCAGTTGTGGTGAATGCATGAAACTGCTTATTTTACGCTCAAAGGATTGCACTAACTCGTATAACTACACTTGGGACCTTGACAGTCTTGGTCACTTGACCTGACCTATCACATTTATATATGCCTTATTTGGAATTTCCATCTTTTTGATTTAATGGAAATTAGATCCCATGTCACAGGCCTCAAAGTTGCGACTAAAATGGTCGCCAATGCAAACTAAATTTCAATTTGTCTACTGTCAAAAATTCAAATGACTACCTTGAAAAATATCTTGTGGCGACTAAATTCTATTGCTTTACATATGTAGACACAAAAATAAACGTGTCTGCTGCTAATTGTACTCACAAATAATTCCTCCTTAAGTCAACAATATTTAAATTAGTATTTTATTTTAGTTGATAGTGTATTGTATAAGCAAGGATATACCTATATAATCTTGTAACATAAATTGCATCATTGTTTAAATCACATAAAACAAGGGGGAGAAGTTGCCTTAAAGAAAGTAAATCGTATTAAAATTTCTAAGCCCATAGTGTTGGAGTTGTCATTTGCTGATCACTTTGGGCTACTCACAGTAATTGCAGGAAGCATTGTTGCATCCTAGGTTGGGGGCACGTTAATTGTATGATTTACAGTATTTACAGAGTGCACCAAGAACAATTTCATGCCTTGCCCTGCTGTGTGTTTCAGCCCATCTTCTGGGAGATACGCTGGATGAGGAGGATACTAAACAAGACAGTGAAGAAATGAGTGTCCAGCTCTCTGATGAAGTTCCTCCTCTTGTGGGGAAAAGGAAGAAGTGTTGTACTCACTTGTGATACTGGCTCAAGTCATCTTATTTGCAGAGCACACCTTTGGGGTACCGTATTCGACATAATAAGTGCCCAGGGCGCTCTCACAATTAGAAGCAGCTGGAAAAGAAATAAATTAAATTTAAAAACATTTATTTTTATTATGTCTCCCCTAGTAATATAGACCCTCTTACAATATAAAATGTAATATCTACATCACTCTCACTGATTCAAGAAGCCAGGTGCACTTTTTACCCCACGGCACAATGACTTTCAAATGAATGAATGAATGAATGAATGAATGAATGAATGAATGAATGAATGAATGAATGAATGAATGAATGAATGAATGAATGAATGAATGAATGAATGAATGAATGAATGAATGAATGAATGAATGAATGAATGAATGAATGAATAAATAAATAAATAAACATAGGTATTTTTAAAAAAACAATTTGACCGACCTTGTGTGACAAAGCTGAATAAATCCATAAAAAAATCCACATAAAATTAAAAAGTGTGGCCTAAATTAATGAAAACAGTATTGAGAGGAACATTACAGAGAATTTTCATGTAATACTTATAATTGATGCTAACACGTGGTAAAAATGTGTCGCCTTTTATACCAAACTGACTCAGTATGTCCTAGGACAATTACCCTAGCTATTATCAGGGGCGGTTGGGTAGCCTAGTGGTTAAAGCGTTCGCTCGTCACGCCGAAGACCTCGGGTTCGATTCCCGACATGGGTACAATGTGTGAAGCCCATTTCTGGTGTCCCCCGCCATGATATTGCTGGAATATTGCTAAAAGCGGCATAAAACCATACTCTCACAATTATCAGACCAGACTTAACCATGCCTCGAACAGTAAAGTGAGGATTATTGATCCAAATAAACAGGTTGCTTTGTCAGTATAGTTCCTAAATAAGGATAGGACTTATGGATGAACAACTTCTTTATTACAATTAAGAGTGACGTTTTGGTGTAGGTTCTAACATCGTTATCAAGCAAGTAATATACAGAGTATGGTTGACAAGTATATATACAGGTAGGAGGCAATGTTTAAACAGTAGAGTAGATATCAGATGTAGTTATACTGCAGTGGACTGAGAAGCCTGTTATGTACACAAAAGGGTAATAAAGACAATTATCGGCGAAGCCAGTAATATAAACAACAGGGTTATGGCTGATTGGGGTCTTTGATGAGGTGATGGTACGCCGGAGGGGAGGGTATGTAATAGCCTTGGTCACGGTTGATCGACGGTTGGAGTCTTTGATGTTGATGGCTTCTTTAAGTTTTCTGATTTTGAAGTCTCTGAGGTTGGTGTTGAGGGCTTTGACTTTATCCCACTGAATGCTGTGGCTTGGGTTGTCATGGTTATGGTCTGAGAGAGCTGATTTGGAGTCATCTTTGGAGACTGAGCTTTGATGTTCTTTAATTCGGATTTTGAGGGGCCTAGATGTTTCTCCAATGTAAACTTGTCCACAGTTGCACGGAATGTGGTACACTTGTCCTGATGGTTCTAGCTTGTGGCTGGATGGTGGTTTCCCTGTGGCTTGTATTGTGTTTTGAATGGTATGACCTCTCTTGAAAACTACATCAATGTTGGCCAGTTTCTTTAAGTGTTTCTGGAGCTGTCTATGACTGTTATAAAGTAGGGGAAGTTGATCACAAAGGGTGCAGACTGTTGACGGGGAGTTTTTTAGATTTCTTGGTGATGTTCTGTGTCGTCTGTTGTACTAGTTGCTCAGGGTAGAGGTTGTACTGTGTAAATGCTTGTTTGAGGTGGCTTAGTTCAGTGGTAAGATGCTGCTTCATAAAACGGATGTTGTGAACTCGTCTCGATAGGGTTGAAATAATTCCTTTCTTGACTTGAGGTGGATGGTTGGAGGCATAGTGAAGATATTGGTCTGTGTGGGTTGGTTTCCGGTAAACAGTGGTCTGGAGTTTGTCATTATTGTCTTTCTGTATAAGTACATCAAGGAAGGGGAGCTGACGATTGGTTTCTTCCTCCATGTTGAACTGCATTCGTGGGTTTGGGGAATTCGGGTGGTCCAGTTGGGGTCTTGGGTCATTGTTGAGATGTAGGACAAAAAGGTGTCATAAACTTTGCAGAACCAGCAGAGGGGGGTTATTGGACATGTTTCTAGGCCGTTTTCTTCAAGGTGGGTCCTAAATATCTTGGTGATTAAGGGTGATAGTGGGGATCCCACTGGGAGACCATGGATTTGTTGATAGATGTTATCTGTCCGAGTGAAGTATGTTGAGCTGATACAGGAGTGTATGAGTCGGATGATGCTGTCAGTTGTTAGGTGGGTGTCCAGGGATGGATGTATAGTTCTTTCAGGTGAGACTGATGCTTTCCACACCATGGTTGACCATGTTGAAGATATTTGATCCATCACTGTGTGCATCAATAGTTCACGGTACAATTTAAAACAGAGACCATATAATAGAGGGACGGCCCTCCCCAACAGTTTATCACTAACCATCAGTGCTCCGGTCTGGCATGTAACTGATACACCCCAACACCCTTCTATTACGTGGTCTCTGAAAACATGCAGGTAATTTTTCTTCCAAATTGTTCATGTTTTCTAATTGCTATAAATTTTAGATCTATATATGAGGGGGCACGGGTGGCCCAGTCATCTGAGGTGCCAGGAAAATTGATAATGGCAACAAATCAGAATCAAGTTTTTCAGTTTACTTGCCCATAAACAGTGACATTACCATCTAATCTGAACATGGGTTGATTCCTTGATTCGACATGAGTGTGTTTGTTTGTCAGGTACCTGTTGTATTGGTTTCACTAGAGTTGTACACATTTAGACCCGCATCACTTCCCTCATCCCTCCCTCACTCAGCTGACACATCGTGAGGTATCGGAAAAACTGTTCCAAGCAAAAACAAACTCGCTAAATTATGAGGAATTATTTTTGTCTGTACTCAGTGCTTCATGGAGGTGAAACTGTAGGGTTTGATATTGTTTCTAGTCTTTAGCATTTTGAATACATCACTGGGATCTGGTTTTAACTTGTAGCAATTTGTGGTCTATTTGTAGCCAAGAAATTTGATTTCTTCTTAGCAGTTGTGTTCATGATAAAAGAACATGCAGCATCATACTACTTGTACATGATGCTAAGACAACGTCCAGCAAGGGAGTTAGTTAACTGACTATGAACGTCCAGTTTCCACCCTTGCCAAACTGGACTGGAATTTCTGGGCTCGATCGTAGCGACACTAGTTGTTATTACAAGTTGTGTCCCTTTTATGCCTCTCCAATTGACCAATCAGATTCCACCTCTTGCATCACTTGCATTTGATTCAAACAAAATGGTGGCGCCCAGTCTAGACGATCTGATCAATAATCAAGATCTATATTGTGATAAAATGGGTCTTGCATCACAAAGTGCATCAAATCACGTGAGCTGCCCCTGATCAAAAGCATGAAAAGATTTGGAAAATATCTGTTGACATCGAGTTGGCAGTGCACATGCTTTGCAAATCCTGCAATCAACTGAAATCTGCAAGACAGTTTACAAACCGGATTTCAATTTTGTTATGCTATTTTGATTGGACTATGCATAGGCTCATTAGTCCAGACAAAATATAACTCCATAGTACCAGCCTAGTTTGGCAAGGGTGGAAACGTCTTTTAAAGTCAGTTAACTCCCTTGCCTCAGGAAGATGGATGTTAAGACTGAAAATTAAGTTGTTTCAAACAAAGGATTTTCTTTAATCAAATTTATACTGACCAGAAAGAGAGGGTTTTATAGACGTTTCTGTGACAAATGGGTTGGGCTTTTTAATAAAAGAATAAAGGAAACAAAATAACTTTTAGCTAACCTGAACTGCAGATCGTAGTGAGCTTATGACATGGTTAGATGTCTCCGTGGTCTATTGTCCATCTTAAACTCACATCTTGCCATCTGCTCAATTAACAGATTCTCCATGGGTATAAGAAGTGTTCACAATATTATGATCCGAATTGTAACATTTATTGAAAGTTATATTTTTGCCTATTATTTGGATATTTGTGTTTAGTTTGCATCAATTATATTTTATTACTCCACTGGCTTTTGACCTTCCTCTGTTCCCAACAGTTAAGTGATAATGTATTTTGTGCATGTTTATATCACTGAAACAACTGGCATTATGAAGCTGCTACATATTTATGTTACATATATATTACATGTGTATATAACATATATGTATGATTCATATATATGTTACACATGAACTGTGTGTGCTTGATATGAATGTTACATACATGAAACATGTATATGACAAATACATATGATTCATGTGTATGTTACACATAATAAGTATGTGTGCTTGATATGTATGATACATATATATTACATATATGTATGATTCATATATGTGTTACACATGAACTCTGTGTGCTTGATATGAATGTTACATACATGAAACGTGTATATTATAGATGTATGATTTATATGTACACTACACATATTAAATGCTTCATGTAAATGGTACATACATTAAATGTGTATGTTACATAAATCTGATTCATATGTACGTTACATATATATAACAGCAACCATATTTGCCGTAAGAGGCGACTATGCTTGTCATAAGCGGCGACTAAAGGGATCCGATGGTCAGACTCTCTGACTTGGTTGATGCATGTCAACGTATCCCAATTGTGTGGATTAATGTTCATGATTTCAGTCACTGGATTGTCTGGTCCAGACTCGATTATTTGCAGACTTCCATCATATAGCTGGAATATTGCTGAGTGCGGCATTAAACAACAAACAATCAATTAATCAAACAAACAAACATGTATATATATATATCATGTGTGTGCTTCATATGAACGTAACATATATATTAAAAGTGTAAATTACTAATGTATGATTCACATGTATGTTACACATATTAAATATGTTTCATATGAATGTTACATATATTAAATGTGTATATGACATACGTCACGGAACTATGCCACAATAAAGTCAGTTTACTTGTGTTTCTCACGATGCTTACAATAGTAGATGCACTAGGACAATTGTTAGATGCTCCATTCATCTAAATGATAAGGTAATGCGACCCTGACCTATGACCCAAATGTCAGGATTAAGTAGTCAGCATGTTGTGTGGCTTCTGTATGTGTAAAATGCCTTACATTATCAATTCAATAAAAGATCACATTGGCTGAAATTTTCATTATCTTGTTAGAGTTACACATTTTATTGCTTTAAGTAGGGGTAATGTTTAATCAGATATCAGTCTCAACTCCCATTTTGCCTGTTTACTGTTGTTTTGATCACTGTCGCGTCTCAACTCCAATGTTGCCTGTTTACTGTTGTGTTGATCACTGTCACATCTCAACTCCCATGTTGCCTGTTTACTGCTGTGTTGATCACTGTCATTTCTCAACTCCCATGTTGCCTGTTTACTGTTGTTTTGTTCACTGTCATGTCTCAACTCGCATGTTGCCTGTTTACTGTTGTGTTGATCACTGTCATGTCTCAACTCCCATGTTGCCTGTTTACTGTTGTGTTGATCACTGTCACATCTCAACTCCCATGTTGCCTGTTTACTGCTGTGTTGATCACTGTCATGTCTCAACTCCCATGTTGCCTGTTTACTGTTGTGTTGATCACTGTCATGTCTCAACTCCCATGTTGCCTGTTTACTGTCTCATTGATCACAGTCATGTCTCAACTCCCATGTTGCCTGTTTACTGTCTCATTGATCACAGTCATGTCTCAACTCCCATGTTGCCTGTTTACTGTCTCATTGATCACTGTCATGTCTCAACTCACATGTTGTTTGTTAACTATTGTGTAGATCACCGTCACGTCTCAACTCCCATGTTGCTTGTTTACTGTCTCATTGATCATTGTCACGTCTCAACTCCCATGTTGCCTGTTTACTATTGTGTAGATCACCGTCACGTCTCAACTCCCATGTTGCCTGTTTACTGTCTCATTGATCACTGTCACGTTTCAACTCCAATGTTGCCTGTTTACTGTTGTTTTGATCACTGTCACGTCTCAACTCCCATGCTGCTTGTTTACTGTGGTCACGTCTCAACTTCCATGTTGCCTGTTTACTATTGTGTTGATCACTGTCACGTCTCAACTCCCATGCTGCTTGTTTACTGTGGTCACGTCTCAACTCCCATGTTGCCTGTTTACTGTCTCATTGATCACTGTCACGTTTCAACTCCCATGTTGCCTGTTTACTGTTGTTTTGATCGATGTCACGATTCAACTCCCATGTTGCCTGTTTACTGTCTTATTGATCACTGTCACGTTTCAACTCCCATGTTGCCTGTTTACTGTTGTTTTGATCGATGTCACGATTCAACTCCCATGTTGCCTGTTTACTGTTCTTTTGATCACTGTCACGTCTCAACTTCCATGTTGCCTGTTTACTGTTGTTTTGATCGATGTCACGATTCAACTCCCATGTTGCCTGTTTACTGTTCTTTTGATCACTGTCACGTCTCAACTTCCATGTTGCCTGTTTACTATTGTGTTGATCACTGTCACGTCTCAACTCCCATGTTGCTTGTTTACTGTGGTCACGTCTCAACTCCCATGTTGCTTGTTTATTGTCTCATTGATCACTGTCACGTCACGTCTCTACTGACCTAGATTTACGTCTGTGCGAGCTGACATGTAAACCCTATATCAGCTATTGGATAACAGGACATTATTTATGCTTTGAAGAGGGGTTTCATTTGAGAAGACAATATATTTTAATGAAATTTGTTGTACCAACCTGGAAATTTGTTTTGGTATCCATAATATTGGGATATACCCGATGACATTATCAGGTCATACGTTTTTGTTGTGCACTCAGGTATCAATTAATGTCATTCAATTCCTTACAACTTTTTCATTTGTTTTTGTTGTGACGCAAGTTTTTGTCAGAAAAATGTTTCGCAAAAAATAGGCTATGCCAAGCGTATGGCCCTCAACCTCAATACAAACTGCCATGGTTACACGAACACGTAGTACCACCACTGAATCGTAGATCCATGAAGACATACGATAGAATTGGTCTTCAGTAACCCATGCTTGCTGTAAAAGGTGACTATGCTTGTCGTAAGAGGAGACTACCGGAATCGGGTGGTCAGACTCCGTGACTTGGTTGATGAATGTCATCGCAGCCCAAATTCGTAGATCGATGCTCATGATGTTAATCACTCGATTGTCTGGTCCAGATTCGATTGTTTACAGACGCCGTCATATAGCTGGGATATTGCTGAGTGCGGCGTTAATAAAAAAAAACAACAAACAATACTGAATCGTAAATGTCAAGGGTTTGTTTTGTTTATATTGTTTTGCAGTAATTTCCACAGTAACCGATATTCTGAAATATCCAATGATGCACAAGGAATGGTAACTTGACCCACACGTGATAAGTATGTGCATATTGATTTTTCAACTTTATCAATTTTAGTAATTTCTGATTTTGTGTACAGTAGAACATGGATATAACGAACTACGAGGGATCAGAGAAATCAGTTCGTTATATCCGTTTTTCGTTATACACGTTTTCGCTCGCAAACGTCCGCCATCTTGGATAAAACAAAACACAATACACGTAATTGCAGCATTGACTTGTATTAGTGGTGATCACTTCATAGCATGTTCTTTTCATGACATTTTACACATTGACGGAAGTGGCATCGTTGGCATGTCATGACAGTTGTTATATCCATGTATCACATACTTTTAGAACTATATTAGTAAAACCGCTCAAGGCCAGTACAATACACGAATGGTTTATTTTTGTTTGTGTTGTGTGTATTGGATACGTCGCTTCTTAAACTGTGACACTATGGTCTGAATAAATATTTTTCTTACTTTTCCACTATGTGGCGTGTCATTATTCTTATCTGAAGGCCCATATAGTCTAAGTGTGTAACGTGTTCGAACATTTTGATGCCCGTGCACGTTATACACGTTTTCGGGACGATCTGATCGATAATCAAGATCTATATTGTAATAAAACGGGACTTACCCCGCGAAATACATCAAATCATTAAATCACTGATATAAAAAATGAAATAATTTGGAAAATATCTGTCGACGCTGAGGTGAGGTGAAATTGGGTTTAACGTCGCTTCCTATAGATTATAGCGACGGACGTGTGTGTGGTTTTTTTATTCACATCGACGACCGACTCAAATGATTGGACTCATCCTATGTCACTTCGCTCATAATCTTCGCTACTACCAAAGAGGTCGCGTTTAGTTTTGTCACGACAGAAAATGTGACGCTAAATGTAGATTTGAAACCCAAGCTATGCGTTCGGTTCCAAATGCAGTTTAGAGCCCGAATTCCCCACGCGCACTAAGAATGGTTAAATGATGTGGATATTTTTGGTAAAAAAATAGTTCTAAAAAGTTATTCGTGTTCAGTGATGTGCCGGATATGACATAACAATCATTTAAGAATTGACTTTCACTTAATGTGAGCTCATTGGAGTTTTAGACCAGTGAAACTGTCTCAGCTGTTTAGGGGTGTCACGATCAATCGAAATATCGATATATTGCTTTTGGTTAGCACTTAAAGTCAATAAATCGATTCTTAAATCAGTTTCCGATCAATAGTATCGATTTCAGTTAGAAATAGCGATAGTTTCGATTGTATTTACCATATCAATAAAATACATGCAATGCTGTTCAAATTTTTTTTTGAGTCGTAGTAATTTACACATGGTAATGTGGAAGTTTCTTTTTCTTAAATTATTAGGGTTAAGAAAAAAAAAATCAGTCATAATTATCTCAAACTTTACTTTTTATTTGTTATGGTTATCACATTCAAAGGAAACTTCAGTTCCAAGGTTTAATTCAACTCTAAAATCCGTCTAAAATGACACACTGAAAACTTTCGATATTATCGCAATAGTTGCTTGCAATATCAATAGTTATCGCAATAGTTGCTTGCAATATCAATAGTTATCGCAATAGTGATTTCCAGACCAATAGTCACCCCTAGTTTAGATCTATGCATTTAGGTTCAGAGCGACAACGTACTCTCTACAGGACTGAATGACAAGAGGCAGGACTTCAATTTTGCCTTTATGTCCTGCCTTATTCCAGCAGTTCCAGCCTTTGGTGTCTACATTTCACAATTTGTGAGGTACCATCGAACATGCTCTATTCACAAAGAGCGTCATATACGAAGATTGCTCAAAAGTTATTTGATCAGGGTTGCATCTTTTCGCGGCCTAAGTAAAATTTTCAAAACGTTTTATGGTAGATATGTGGATGACATTTCCATATCGTGTTCCCGTGTTTTTTCAGGTGAACACTTGCCTTTGCATGTGTTTGTGACAGCTGGTGCCAGCGGTGGGGCACAGTACGCCCCCTTCCTCAAATCAGTGGTGTCATTGCTATTTGATACTTGCTTTTGATATCGTCGGGATCGTCACGGTGGACTCTGCTTTTGGCAGATATTAGCGGATAATCTAGACTGGTTTTCTCCTGCATTGACAATTTATGTTTATGATGAGGGAAAGGGGTTTGTAGCTTTTGTTTGTATGTTGTTTAACAAACATAAACAACGCATGATACTTTATGCACACTCTCCTACCCAGAGTAGGACCAACATACAATGTCCCTGTGCCACAGACCAGCGCCATGTGACGATTCGTCACATCTTACACAGTCCATTCAGGATATTGCATATGTTTTTCATCTGTTTCGTTTTTGACAAGACTACACGTCTAGACAAACATATGTCATAGAATGGTTAACTTTCCTTGAGAAAATATCCTAAATCGTGAAAAACTATTTCCATTTGCGTAGTTGTCCTACGTTTACATTGGTTGCATGTACGGCTCCATCGAAGCCCATCCGAGAGCTGGCGATACGGTCACTTTGATGTGTAAATATGTATTGCCATGTAACTCACTGTCGCAGTTGTAGTAACATATCTGTAGAATTATGCAAAATTATGTAAAGCGCCCCCAAATACTTGCATTAGTCCGTTCTATACTGATTTTTTAAGAGAAAAGTCCGGTCACGTGATATGCAAATTATCCTGTGGCAATGGTGTTATGCTAAGTCACCACTGCGCCGGAGTGTGACTTTATGCAGTCACGTGTTATTGCATTCATTTTCCAATGAATGTAAAACATTAGGCCACGACTTCCGAAGCGGACTACTTTTATCACTACGGAATGTCGGGAATCCCAGTATTACAGTCGCGGGAATCCCTTTCTGCTCGCGTGTATCGTTATGTAACATGTTTGTGGCAGTATTTGATCAAACTGATCAAACTATAATTTTCACTGATCCGCACAAACATCCACACCTTGTACTTAACGCTAATGACGTTATCAAAACCATTCGCTGATGACGTTATCAAAACCATTCGCTGATGACGTTATCAAAACCATTCGCTAATGACGTTATCAAAACCATTCGCTGATGACGTTATCAAAACCATTCGCTGATTACGTATTCAAAACCATTCGCTAATGACGTTATCAAAACCATTCGCTGATGCCGTTATCAAAACCATTCGCTAATGACGTTATCAAAACCATTCGCTGATGACGATATCAAAACCATTCGCTTATGATGTTATCAAAACCATGCGCTAATGACGTTATCAAAACCATTCGCTTATGATGTTATCAAAACCATTCGCTAATGACGTTATCAAAACCATTCGCTAATGACGTTATCAAAACCATTTGCTGATGACGTTATCAAAACAATTTGCTGATGACGGAATCAAAACCATTACTTTCTTAACCACCCTAATAAAATAGGAAATATAGGCAGATAAGCCACCCAAAGAAACATAATAGTTAAATTTCGTTATAACATTAGGCTTTTAAGAATGAGGTACTGCTATCGGCCATTGTATATGAAGGAAGCCAATTAACGGTTTTCACAAATGGATTGATTCTGAAAGACATATTGCGAGGTTATTGCGCACCTTCTTAAAATGAAAATAAAAGCGACAAAACCTTTTCCATATTCGTAAGAAATATGTTACACTCCGTTGGCCAAAGCCTGCCATCTAGTAATTAGGTACGAGTTATCTAGCGGAACAATTCTAGGTAATTCGAGAGGCAGGAAGCGTTGCATTAGAAGCAATCTGTTAGTAAAGTAATGTACTAACAGCGTTTCCTTAGTCTCGCCGTCCGCAGATCTGCGACTGTATTAGTACTGCGGTTATTGACAGTCTGCCCATTAGGACAACTTCCAGGACAGGTGAATCTCCCACCGTCTTATGATTGGACAATAGCACTCCGCCCATAGGGAAGAATGATTACTGTATGGCCTTACATACAACACACCTGAGACCTTAGCGTTGGATAAGAGTTGCTTGTTTTACAGATGGCTTGGTCGTGAACGTTGATCACAGAGACACATCTGATTGAGAAGCGGAAATACAGAGCATTTAGCTTTAGCTGTATTTCACAGACGAAATCTAATTCCGATGTCCCTGCAGGGGCCCGGGAGCTGACATGAATTGCAAAGTGGGACGTGGCATTTGGAGATGCTGATATAATTATTCGGATCCATCCTAGATGTGAGAGTAGGGATAGAGGATTTAATATCTGAAAGGAGTTGTGTAATTTCTATACCCACTGTCAGTCTCGAGAGTCAAACATGTGGTCTGAAAAGGTACATCCTGAAACGTTTCTTCTGTTGTTTCTTGGGTGTACAGGACTGTGTCTGGATGAGGTATCAGGCAAGTACATGGTAAACATTGGTACTATAGAGAGAACAGACAGCAGCTCTTCAATGAGCGTGAACCGATCTGGTGCTGCCATTGACATGGCAATGGACTACATACGACACAAGTACAATGAAACACTGGACATCCGATACACATTTGGGTATGCAGTAAGCGGCCCAACTGAAGCCGGGGCTGTGGCCGCTGAACTGTACCACAAGCATAATGTAGATGCATTCATTGGCCCAGGTAAGTTCACATTGCTCAGTCGGTTTCAAAATTACTTAATACTGCCTTTGAATGGCATTTAGAAGTGATACACATAAGTGAGAATTTATGGATGTCAACTTTTTTACTATGAAGAACACTTCGTTTCGGAGTATATACTTACTCCTTCATCAGTTGAAGGAAGGTGCGTATATATACTCCGAAACGTTGTGTTCTTCTTAAACCAAGACCGACCATTTTAC